TTTTCCCCTCCCCCCTTTCCTTCCTCCTTCCCTTCCCTCATTTTTCCTCCCTCCTTTGTTTTCTTCTCCCTTTCTCTCTTCACTTTTCCCCTCCCTCCCCCCTCCTTTCCTTCCTCTCTCCTTATAATTATAATTCTTACCATTTCACCCAGAACTATTTCTGCACATATAGTAACTTTGCTATTGGAGGGAGCAAGGCTGCATAAAGGACACTGGCCCCATAAGATGATAATGGACTGAAATATTCCTATCTCCTATGTGGTGCTGACCATAGCAAAGTATATATAACACATTATAACTGTGTACAGTAAATCATACTTGATACTGGCAATAAATGGCTGTTTCTAGTTTGTATATTTATAGTACTTTTATGCCATTATTATTATTATTATTATTATTATTATTAGGTGCCTGTACCAGGGCTTGAACTCAGGGTCTGGCCATTGCCTCTTAGCTTTTTAGCTCAAGACTGGTGCTCTACCATTTGAGCCACAGCTCCACTTCTGGCTTTTTTTGTGTGGTTATTTTTGGACTGGAACCTTATGAACTTTGCTGCCAGGGCTGGCTTCAAATCATGATCCTCACATCTCAGTAGCTAGTTCCAGTAGCTAGTAGCTAGTTGCCTGGCCTTTGTCACTATTTTAAAATGTATTCTAATAATTGTTGTTCTTACAATGGATGCTCCAGCACTTGGGAAACTGAGGAAGAGGCTTGAGTTTGAGGCCAGCTAGGCTACATAGTGAGACCCTGGCTCAGAAAACAGACCAAAACAACAATAACAATAAGAACAGAAATTTACTATAAATTGCCATGTTAGGCCAGCAGCTGCCTTAGGTTTATGCATCTTTTGATTGCATCCTGAAGCCAGGTGTAGTGATTGGCTATGCAATCTAGCTTTAGGTATGCTCTAGAATATTTGTGCAGTGTTGAAATGCATTTCTCAGAACACATTTCCTGCATTATACAGCACATGACTATCTAAAAGATGGGATCTTCCATCTGGGCTATAATACTATTACCAGCTCCCTTGTCAAATAATTCCATAAGATATTTAGCTCTTTATCACCCATGTATTTGCTTAATCACGAGAACTAATTATGAATCATGTCAGTGTTAGGGTTTTGTGAGTTAGACTCAGGTTCTCACCATGCTATACTGCTGTTCTATAGAAACTCATATTCAAACTGATCTGATTTGGCCCACTGGGCTAAGGACATGAAGTATTTGAGAGTGAATGCTGGTTTTGTTGTAGAGTGAAAAAGTGTGTGTGAGTATATAACTGCAGCATTTGTTTTCTCGTTCTTTCCTCCTTTCCTGTGCCTGAGGGCTTGTGTCTCTAGCCACAGGTGGCTGTCTAGCAAACAGAATGTTGGAATTGAGTTGTGCTGTGTCAAATGTATCACAACTAAAAGATTTCATGTAAAAAATAAAGTGTTAGTAATTTTTAGGTATATTATATCTTGAAGTGTTAATTTGGGTATGTTTGGGCATGTTCATTTCACATATTAAAATTGGGATCTAATTGACTATTTTAGCTCCTTACTTAAAAAGCCTGTTATAACAATGTCAGTGGTTTCTGATACATTCAGACTCAGCGCTCACCCAGGTTGTGAAAAACAACTTGATTGTGCAGAGTAGAATATATTTGTAACTTAACAGTGGTTTCACTGAGTTGAGAGGTAGATTGCTGCTAGAGTGCTTACGTGGCATTTGGAAGCCCCTGGGGGTCAGTCCCTCACAGCAAAATAACAATAAATCAGAAGACAAACAAAGGAAACCCTGTTGAATTTATGTGTTTTTCTATGTAGATCCCCTGAAAAATGGTTCAATAAAGTTTCCGCTAAGCATAGAAGTATATAAAAGATACTGATTTTATGATCCTTTTTTAATTTTACTAAAAGAAGGCTGTGTTTTTGCATGCATAAATCAGGAGGTGGGAGGGAAATCTTTTTTTCTTCAGGAGAGTAAATTCTCATGGAAACAAAGTCACATAAAAATGTATCTTTCAGATACATTCAAATTGTTGCAGTTCCCAAACCCTCAAGTAGTTATAAGCACTATTTTCAATTCTCTGGGAAGATGAAAAGGCAGAGAGGTAGAACAGAAACATGTGAAACTGCCCTAATTTCTAGAGAAGTGATTTTTTTAACCTTTTTTTTTTTTTGTAAAGATACTGTACAGAGGAGTTACAGTTCCATGAGTAAGGATGAGTACATTTCCTATGAGCATTGTTACCCCTCCTTTGTTTTCCTCTACTATCCTTTTCCTACCTAACTCCCCAACTCCTCTCCACCATCCATCTCCTCACCCCACCCCCGATTTTTTTCCCAGGAGTTAGTGTATGATCTCTGATGCAATCTGTTTCCTTTCTGTTTGTCCTAGTGCTTATTATTAGTTATTATTAACATTGTTATTAAATATTATTTACAGTTTTTGAAGCTTGTCTTTGTTTTAGTATTTGCCAGAATTTCCTGCTTTGTAAAGGCAGCATAATATTCCATTCTATTTATGTAGCACATTTCATTTATCCATGTTATCCATCTATGGCCATTTAGATTGATTTCATTCCTCAGCTTTTGTGAGTAACTGCAGTGAGTGTGGGAATACAGGTATCCCTACGAGATCCTGCTTTGAATTCTTTTGCAGATGTACCCAGAAGTGGTTTTACAGAACCCTGGGATAATCTTTTGTCCTATGAACCGGACATCTGCATGTTTTTTCCAAGGGTAATGGGAGTAAATCTGCTTCCCATTGAGTAGCCCTTTCCTTTCACATTATTTTTTCAAATTTTTATTGTTACTATACAGGTGATGTACAGAGGGGTTACAGTTACATGTTAGGTATTACCTGACTTATTATTACATTTCTTTTTGGACAGTGTCACCCCTTTCCTTGCTGTCTGTTTTTCCTTCCCATCCCACCCACAAGTTGAATAGTTCATTTCCAATATAGTGTTCAGTGAGTACCACTGCTAAGTTTGCTCACTTTTTCTCCTTGCATTTCTATGCCTTCTCTTTTCCCCTCCCAAAGACAAATAAATGAACAAACAAGACAAAAAAGAAAACAAAAACTGCCACAAAGGAAGAGCCTCTTGTTTCCATTCCCTGGAGTTCATTTCAACAAATATTTTATATGATCTGATGCACATAGGCATTGAGCCTTTTGCTCCTCTCCTAAGAATATCCTCATTTGGTCTCACTGTGAGTGAATGTCTACAGGACTGAATAATTTGTCATGTCCCTGTGTATTTTAGATCTAGCTTCTGCATATGAGAGGAAACACGTACTCCTCTTCACATTCTTTACTCATTACCTCTCTGGAAAAATATCTCCCTGGCTGAAGAATTTTACAGGTATATTGTTTTATGAAGGTTTCTTGCTTGTTCTGCAGAAAGTGTCCTTCCATTTCCCAAAGTAAACACCAGATTTGTTTGGTCTCACTGTGAGTGAATGTCTACAGGACTGTATAATTTATGATGTCCCTGTGTATTTTAGATCTAGCTTCTGCATATGAGAGGAAACATGTACACACAAAATGTCACTTGGCCTTGGTGATATATAACTCTTGATATATCATAGCTTTTTGCTTAGTTTTAGCAGAGTTGTGTTCTGTATTTACAATGCTACCAAGAGTCATATATTTCAGGAAGGATTTGTTAGGAGAATTGGCTCCAGTGTTGATGGAGGCTAAGAAATCCAATGGCAGGCCATCTGCAGTCCTGGAGATCCTAGGATGCTGAAAGTATGGCTCTGTCCCAAGTCTTGAGAATGTGAGAACTGGAGAAGCCAATGGTGTAACTCTCCCTCAATCCCAGGCTGAGGGCCCAAGAGTCCAGGATCCTAAAGTCTCAGATGTGTCTTAGGGAGAGGGAGAGGGACAGGGAGACAGAAAAGGAGAAGCGCAAAGAAAAGGAGAGAGGTAGGGGGGAGGGAGTCAGAGAGAGAGAGAGACCCCCTTTCTGTCCTTTCTGTTCACTCTGGAACCAGCTGATTGCTTGGTGTCTACTCCTCAGTGTCAACTCAGTTTACAAACTCCTCCACTGGAGTGCTGTGAACACACCTCACAGACACACCCAGCAGTAATCCATTAGCATTTCCTCAAGTCTTCTTTCACCCAGTCAAGTTAACATGTAAATTATGTATCACAGGTACAACTCCCATGAAACTGGTGACCTGCCCGGGTTCCTAGTGCGCTGGCAGGTAGCCACAGCTCAAGCATGCCTGCTGGGCTCCTGTTTTCTCTTTGCCTCCTAGGGCCACTTCAGCAAGCTGTGCCTCAGTTTTCTGGCAAATGAAGTGAGGTAATACATTGCTCACCTCCTGTATCTGTTTTGGAGAGTGACTGAATAAACATGAGGCAAATAGAGCACATTCTGAAGTGACTGCGAAGGAATGTATGACTCAGTGCTCACTTTTCTTTCCCTTTGTATTTTTCAGTGCTATTTGGAGTTACATGTTGCTTCTTCCCTTCTCTGTTCAAGTCTTGTACTTGGTGTAACTCACTTTGGAGGAAACCCTATCTCTCATGTTCACAGACGGGTGAACAAGGAGAAAATATATTCAGAGGCCCTGTTAGTGGAATGACCATTGAATTCTCTTTCCTTCTTTCTCTTAGCCTGGGGCTATGACTTTTGGTTGAGTAAGGGCTGTCCCTGGCCAGCCTAAAGGACTTGTGGTTTGGGCTACCATTGCTGTTCTTTGGATTCTGGGGTGGAGGATAAACCAGGCCTGACTGGGAAAGGGTATCCAAGAGCTGGAATGGAGCTAGGATCCAATGTCTCCCTTTGCAGGCTCCAGGCTGGTGGGTAAAAAGCAAATCTTTATAAACGGGTATGTTTCTTTCATCCATGGACATTGGATAGTGCCTCCAGAGCTGCATGTGGCCCTGACAGCTGGTTTGGGTTTGGGTCAGATTGTTCCTTTCCTCCTTTCCCAACATGTACTTTATGAAAGCTAAGTTGTTAGGTGCACAGTTTCATTTCGTGTTTGTCTTCCTTGCAGGCAGTTTTAGTGAATAACATCACCACAGGTGAGAGGCTCATCAGAGATCTGCAAGGTAAGCCACACCCCCATCCTGGGGAAAACCTGCCTTTCCCCACATTGTTCCCCAGGATCTCATGTGGTCCTGATAGTCTCACGGTGAGTAGGAGTAATTGAGACGTTTTTATTCCATTAGGGACCAGGTGTGGTGGCTCATGTATGTAATTCAAACTATTCAGGAGGATAGACATCTTGAGGCCAGCCCTGGGCAAAAATGAGAACCCCTATCTGAAAAACAAACTAAAAGTACAACAACTGAGAATAGAGTTGAAGTGGTAGAGGCCCTGAGTTCAAATCCTATACTAATATAACCAACAAGCAAACAAACAAATATACATTTACATTGGCTGAGCACTGCGGCAGGAAGATTATGAGTTCAAGGCCAACCCGGGCTCCTTAGTAAAGAGACCCTGTTGTGAAAAAACTATTGTAATGCCAGTACTAGGACTTGAAGGCAGGATCTTGAGCTCCTGATCCACTTTTCTTCTTTGTTCACAGCTGGTGCTCTACCACTTGAGCCACACCTTCACTTCTGGCTTTTTATTCATTACATATTGCTATGACAATATTGTTTTTATCTATTGGGTTAAATCTAATGTATTGTTGAAATTAATTCTACCTGGTTTGATTTGCTTTTTTAAAAGTGCGATTGCTAGGAAATGTAAAAGTTCCTGTGTGGCTTGCACTATAGTTCTGTTGGTCAGTACTAGTCTGTTTCAGACCAGGCTCTAAAAATATCAGTAGGAAACACATGAGATTTGCTTTGTCACATTTCCTTTGCAGAAATGCAAAGTTACACCAAGTGAGAAAGTTGGCTTCACTAACAGGCACAATTCTCAGAGCCGTGATCTTCAGCTGAGCCTGTTCTTTTCCCCAGGCCAGGGTGTGGGCTGTAGACTTGCCTATACTTAGTACCCCACCCCCATCTAGTGGCTTGAGCTCTGAGCCTGGCACTGTACCTGAGCTCTTCTACTCAAGGCAAGCACTCTACCACTTGAGCCACAGCCCCCCACTTCCAGTTTTCTGGTAGTTAATTGGAGATAAGTCTCATTGACTTTCCTGCCGGGGCTGGCTTTGATCCTCAGGTCTCAGCCTCCTGAGTAGGATTACACGGGTGAGCCACTGGGGCCCGTCTTATACTTAGTACTTCTAAGTAGCTTTAACTGTGTGTATGTGACCTACTTAAGCTACATATCAAGCATATAGTTTGACAGATTTTGACACATGCATATCTGTGTCAGGAAGCCATCATCAAAATCAGTGCAATGGCACATTTGTCATCCTCAGAGATAGCTGTGCCCCTTGTTAGTCCTCCACACTGCAGGCATCCTCTGGTCTGCATCCTGTCCTTATTGATTAGCTTGGGGGGGGGGGGTCAGTTGTAGGGCTTGCACTCGGGGCCTGGGCACTGTCCCTGAGCTCTTTTTGCTCAAGGCTAGTGCTCTACCACTTAAGCCACAGCTCCACTTCTGGTTTTCTGGTGGTTAATTGAGGTAAGAGTCTTATAGACTTTCTTCCTTGGCTTTGAACTGTTATCCTCAGATCTCAGCCTCCTGAGTAGCTAGGATTACAGGGGTGAGCCACCAGCCCAGCTATGCTTGCATTTTGAACATCTGCATACACATATGGATTCAGGTTGTGTACACCTTGTTTTTTCTAGCTTCCTTCAGCATAATGTTTGTGAGTCTTGAACCATGTTGTGTGGATATCCATAGTTTGTTCCTTTTCTTTGTCTGATACATAGTTTGATTGTGGAATCTTCCCTTTAAATTAGGTTTACTGAAGTATTCCCTTTATATAGTTACATACTTTAAAAAATGTTCTGAAGCAGAGTCTCACTTTTGTTGTCCAGACTGGCCTTGAACGTGGGATCCTATTGCCTTCACCTCCCAAGTGCTGGGATTATAAGCATACACTACCATGGCTGACAAGTGCTTAGTCTCACAGGTCACTGTTATGATCAGTGCCCAGCATCAACTTGTCACTCCAGGCCACTCTCCTCACCCCCAACCCTAACCTCTTCCTTGAACACTTTCGCGGTGACTCAATTCCCATCTTGGCCTCATGTGTCTACTGAGCAGTTCTCCATGAATGCCTTTTCTGGTGGTCCTTACCGTGGTATGCATCAATAGTTCATTGAATCCTTTGTTTTACTTTTATTCTCCCTTAGAATTTTGTTCTTGCAGTTCTGGGTTGTAAGGATAATCTTGGGGATACACTGTTGGCTGGGACTGCATCTGTGTTCTGGCTGTTGCTGTCTGCTGTCCCCCCATCCGGTGGCCACTGTAGCCCCTTTTCCTGATGCCCCAGCTCAGCTGTCAGTTTCTGATTTTCTCTGCAGAGCTTTCACAAGTTGAGTTGTCAGGGCAGCAAGGACAGGGCAGTATATGTCCTTGGAGAAAACTGCAGTTTCCTTGGTAGTTGGGGTGGGTGACTGAATCCAGGGCTCAGCTGTGAACAAGTGACAAGAAAAGGGTTTTGGCTAGTAGGAAAGCTGCTGGCAGAGGTGGCTGCTGACTCTTTATGCTCTGACATGTGGTTCTGCTACACAAGGACTACTGCAACATGTCCTCTTGTCTCAGACCAGTTGAAGGCCCTGCAGAAGAGTTACGACAGGCTGCAGCAAGATGTCATCCAGTTCCAGAGGAACCAGACCAACCTGGAGAGGAAGTTCTCCTATGACCTGTAAGTGTGGCTCAGGAGACCCAGCCTGCTCACTCTTCCTGATAGCAGGCCCTACTGCGACTCAGCCTTCACAGATATGTACGTTACTTTTCCTAAGCCTCAGAAACCTGAGGTGAGAATTAGAACACAGAAAAAATAAGAAAGGTGCATGCAAAAACACACTGAGACAGATAGAAAGACAAGACAGCATTTCTCAGCAGGAAAGAATCACTCAACACACCATGAAACTTTGTATCTCTTAAAATTCTGTGAAGTGCCAGGGGTACTGTTTAAATCAGTCATCTGTGCTATTTACAAAATCCAGAGATGAGTTAAATGTCATTTATTCATTTTAGCAAAGTATTAGTACAGTTTACTGCTGGGTGACAGCACTGTGGATACTTTCTTTTCTTGAGGCTTTGCAGTGTTTTCCACATTTCCACAGTGAGAGTGACTTTTATAATTAACACAATAAACTTTTCAAAGTGAGCTGAACCCCCTGGGAAGAGAGTTAGATGCCAGTTTGTAGAGTATAGAATAGGTTGGATTCTGTTTATTTCACATGCTTTCCCATAAGAACACAGTAATGAAGTGTGGGAATTCAGAGCTGCCCCACTACTCAGGTGTTTGCTTCCAGTGATTGAATTTTCCTCAGTCATTTGATTTACATCACACAATCACTAACAGTTTTTAATATTTTTCATTCACTTTTTAGATAAAACATTCATATAGGCATTAAGTGATGAAGTATTTCATCATTTAAGAATTACCGGTGCCTATAGTTTATTCCTGTAATCCTAGCTACTCAGGAGGCTAAGATCTAAGGATCAGCGTTCTGTGGGATTCTTTTTGTGTTTGTTTTGCTGGTCGTGGGGCCTGAACTCTGGGCCTGGGTGCTGTCCCTCAGCTCTTCAGCTCAATGCTAGCGCTCTACCACTTGAGCCACAGCGCCACTTCGGGCTTTTTCTGCTTATGTGGTGCTAAGGAATTGAACCCAGGGCCTCATGCATGCAAGACAAGCACTCACTGAGCCACCTTCCTAGCCCCTTTTGTGAGATTCTTACCTCCAATTAACCACCAAAAAGCCAGAATTGGAACTCTGGCTGAAGTGTGGCTGAAGTGGTAGAGTGGCCTTGAGCAAAAGAGCTCAGAGACAGCACAGCACTCAGGCCCTGAGCTCAAACCCCACAACCAGCACACAAACATAAAATTACTTGGAATTTTTTTCCTATGGGATATTCAAGTGTAGGTTTAGCCCATCACCAGGTATATACATTTTTTAACATAACATTTTTTTTAATTGTGAAAATACTGTACAGAGGAGTTACAATTACATGGGCAAGATAATGAGTACATTTCTTATCAAGCATTGTAGCCTCCTCCTTTGTTTCTCCTTCCCATCCCTTCCCATCCTCTCCCCCGCCCCCCCATCTTCCCCACTCCCCCTCCCCCCCTCACGAAAGTTGTAAAGTTCGTTTTCCACATAATGACTTGTACATCTCATTGTTGCAATGGGTCCACCTGTATCCCTATTTAAACGATTTGTTTTTCCCCTTCCCCTCCACAAATTATACCGACATCAAATACAGTGAAAACAGGGGTTATACTGTGGGGGAGGGACATACAAAGCAACAAAGAAATAATCTTACAAATGGTTTCCCTTATTTGCAATATCTAGTATATGTCTGAGTCAAGCAGAAAAGGTCAGATAGGTGATGTTAGGGAAATGAACCCTAAGATATGTATTCAAATGTTTTTTTTTTTTCTTTCAGGTATATAAATTTTTAAGTAGCTTGCTTTGTTTTTTGTTTTTGCCTTCTTAAAAGGACCTTCTTTTGTAGGGAAGTCTGGACTGCATCTCACAATTCTAATTGAACCTCCTAGGTGCTAGCATTCCAGGTGTACTCTATTGCACCTGGCTCAGAAATTGACTAGCAGACTGTGGGGTTCCCAGCAGTCTATGAGACCAGGCCTCATGCGGATGCCCATGTTATTCTGAAGCCTTGTCCACACGCCTTGATTTCCCCCAGATCACTTTAAAACCAAATTCCACTAAAAATGTGGAGCCCTAACTACAGTTACACACACTGTTGGACAGTGGGGTAAGTCCTCAGAGGTGTGTGATCAGGCCGTGTCATCCCACAGACACAGTGTGTACTTAAAAGAGACAGCTGAGGCCTCACTCAGCCAAACAGTTTCACAAGGAAACTCGGTGGCTAGTATGCTTGTGCATCCTTGTTTGGCTGTGACAGTGAGATAGGCCTTGTTTCCTCCCAAGAAGCTGGCAGTATTGTCCCCAGGAGACCTTTGACAGTGTCTTGGGGCTTTATTTTTTTTTTTGTCAACTTGGAGAGAAGATGCTATGGTGTCAGGAAAGTACAGATGAGGGATGCTGCCATAAACCCTACAGTACACAGGACAGCTCCCACAGTGGAGTTGTATCTGACCCCAAACATCTATAATGCCAAGGATAAGGAAAAAGTCTTACTGACACGAACTCCAGGATATGGAAACAGATTTTTTTTGTTGTTATTGGTGGTGGTGGTGTTTGGTTTTGCTTTTCCCTTTCTTTGTGGTGTGGGGAGGTGGGGGTGGGACAGAAGGGAAGTGGTAGAAAGGGGAGTTGGAAGAACAAATACAATCACGACTCAGTATACGCTATGTGGAAAACAATTTGTGTAACTTGTAGGCAGGAATGGGAGGGAAAAATGGGGAGAAGGTAAAGGAAGAGATGACACTGATCAAAAAAAGAAATGAGCCAGCACCAGTGGCTCATATGCCTATAATCCTAGCTACTCAGAAGGCTGAGATCTGAGGATCATAGTTTGAAGCCAGCCCAAGCAGAAAAGTCCTTGTGAGATTCTTACTTCCAATAAACTACTCAAAAAATCTAGACATGGCACTGTGGCTCAAGTGGTAGAGTACAAGCCTTGAGCATAGAGAGGCTCAGGAAGGGCTGGGAAGGTGGCTCAGTGGTAGAGTGCTTGCCTTGCATACCAGAGGCCCTGGGTTCGATTCCTCAGCACCACATAAGCAAAAAGAAAAAAGCCGGAAGAGGTGCTGTGGCTCAAGTGGTAGAGTGCTAGCCTTGAGCTGAAGAGCTGAGGGAAAGTGCCCAGGCCCAGAGTTCAGGCCCCACAACCGGACCCCCCCCCAAAAAAAAAGAGGCTTAGGAATAGCCCCAGGTCCTGAGTTCAAGCCCTAGAACTAGCCAAAAAAAGGAGTGGGGGGTGGGGATGCACTTACTGACTTAAGAAAGAGTAACCCTCTTAATAACAATATTAACAATAAAATTATAACAAAATTATATTTTAAAAAATCTGAGTTAGGCTACTTAGGAATTGGATTTATGCAAAAATGAAATACCCTAGTCTTACTATCAGTCATTCTTTTTTTTTTTTTTTTTTCCAGTTGTGGGTCTTTTAACTCTGTGACTGGGCGCTGTCCCTCAGCTCTTCAGCTCAAGTCTAGTGCTCTACCACTTGAGCCACAGTACCACTTCCAGTTTTCTGGTGGTTAGTTGGAGATAAGAGTCTCAGGGACTTTCCTGTCCAGGCTAGCTTTGAACAGTGATCCTCAGATCTCAGCCTCCTGAGTAGCCAGCTAGGATTACAGGCGTGAGCTACTGGCATCTGGCTCTATCATTCATTCTTAAGGTATATCTTAATGCTAATATTTTCCTTCCATGGATTGAAATGGAAATATCATTAATGGCCTTATTAGTGTTGACCTAGCTGGAAACCAACCAGAGCAGAGCAACCAGGCAGTGGGCAGTGGGACTGAGGGCTTAGACTGACAGCTTTTTTGGCTGACTGCCTGTGTCTTACTAGCTGTGTCTACGACCCTGTGTCAAATGCAGGATTTTTTCTGAATGATGTTTGTGGAGTATTGGAAGCTAGAAAGAGCTAGCTGTCCTTCACTTGGATGACAGACCCTTTTTGAGAATTTGAGGAAAAGGTCTGGATACCTGGTTAGCATAAAGTTGTGCACTCTGTAAGAATTAGTAAGCCTTTCATGCATGACTGTACACCCTCTATTAACTCACCTTCTTAATCCCTTTATAGAAGGCAGTGAAGAGAACACAAAAGCTGGTACAAAGCTCTAGCTTCCACAAGTCTTGTTTTTTGCTGTGAATTAGGCAGCACACATTCCCACTTTTCCTCCTTCACCTATGCAGACATTACTAAGCGATCATGCATTAATTCATACAAACATAGCATTACATTCTCTCCCTAGAGTCAGCTCAGGAGATGAACTGTACTTTGCACACCATGAGGAAAGTTTGCAAATGTAGCAGCCATACTCAGAGGGACAGTCAGCGTCCTGGATGATGAGATCATCTACCTTGATAGGTTCCTGTATTAAGCCCAGGAATCCTAATGGTACTGAGGTCAATCAACAATTGCACCAAGTCCTCTGTGTGCCTACAGTTCAGTGTGTACACATAGGAAAACGGACTGCCTGGGGCTCTCAGGAAGCAATACAGTCCTCATGACTTGTGTCTCAAGCCTTAAACTTTGTACTGAGTTCAGCTTACTGCTACAGAAATGGAATGTGAGAAACTGACTTCATTTACACTGCTGAGAGAGAGGCCATTTGTACTTAACTGGCAGGTTGAGAGCAAGTGAGCCAATATTTCTCCAGTATTTCTCCTTTGTAGGTTGAAAGGTTCAGGCAGGGTGGATGACCTGTGCTGTCAGCTTCTCAGGAAGCTGCTGCCTCTTTGTTTTTAAGCCCCTGGTGGCTGTGTGTTTGTCAGAAGTTGATTTCAGTGAAGTTTACATTTAATCTGAGATGAGGAATGGTGTGTTTCATTGCTTCTCCAGCTCCAGATCCCCTTCTGTGTGTGTTATTTAGTGACAGGGTGGTGCTTTGAACTGCTGATGTGTATCTCCCAAGTTAGGAGTTGAGTGCAGTACTCATGCTGGCCTCTGCCCGGAGCCCAGCTGCAACTCAGATAAGATAGCCAACCCTATGGGGAGAGAACATGGCACAATGGGAAATGACTCTGGCCAGCTCTTAGCATTCCCATTTGCAAAGCACATGGGTAACTCTCTCATTTCAACAGAGATAGCTCTGATACTTGCTGAAAAACTCTTCCATTCCAGGTGGAAGGCCGAAACCCCTGAGTTCATCCCACAGCACTTCGTTCACACTAGCATCCTCCAGCCATATTTAGTTTTGTTGCTACCCAGTTAGAGCAGACCTACAGGTTAAGGGGCTCAAGCCCACAAGACTCCATCTGTATGCAGCCTTTGGTCCTCGGTGATCACCACACTTAGTCTTGATGGCTACAAATGCAGGGCTACCTGCCACCCCTCTCAGGTTTCTAATATGGCAGCCTGAGTTATAGAACTCAATACAGCTAAATTTAGTATCATGGTTTAATTACAAAGGGTGCACCTCAGGAACAGCCAAGTGGTAGGCGCTGGTGGTAGGGAGGGACAGGAGCTTCGGATCCCATGTAGACAAGATGCTACCCATTCACCAAATCACATGATTGAACTGAATCTCCAGTCCCTCTGCAACCCTCCAGTCCCTGGCAGTCAGCCCCATCATGAAAGCATCTAGCTAGTGCAGGAGCACCCGCGATCCCCAACCCACCGCCTGTGTCATCTTAACCACATAAACTCAGGCCTGGTGCAAAGAATAAGAAAAAATACTCCTTAGAGACAGGACATCTCAAGGTTTACATTAGGAGCTCTGTGCTAATAGCATGTGCCAAAAAACAATCTTTTGTGTGTCACACTATGTGCTAATCCTGTGGCTTGATCTCAGGGCCTGGCCACTGTCCCTAAGCTTGTTTGTTCAAGGCTAACACTCTACCACTTGAGCCGCAGCTCTACTTCTGACTTTTTTGTTTTTTGTTTTTTTTGGGTGGGGAGGTCCGGTTGTGGGGCCTGAACTCTGGGCCTGGGCGCTGTCCCTCAGCTCTTCAGCTCAAGGCTAGCCCTCTACCACTTGAGCCACAGCGCCACTTCCGGCTTTTTTCGCTTATGTGGTGCTGAGGAATCGAACCCAGGGCCTCATGTATGCAAGACAAGTGCTCTACCACTGAGCCACCTTCCCAGCCCCTACTTCTGACTTTTTGGAAGTTTAAGAGTCTCAGGGACTATCCCTGCTGGCTTTGAACCTCGATCCTCAGATCTCAACCTCTTAATTCACTAAGATTACAGGTGTGAGTTACCATGACTCGGCTGTTTATTTTCATTTTTTGTCCATTGTGGGGCTCGAACTCAGGACTTGAGCACTGACTTCTTTTTTGCTCTACCAGTCTCACTTCTGGTTTTCTGGTGATTAAGTGGAGGTAAGAGTCTCATGGACTTCCCTGTGCAGGCTGGCTTTGAACCACAATCCTCAGATCTCAACCTCCTGAGTAGCTGGGATTACAGGTGTGCGCCACCAGTGCCTGGCTTCCTACTGTTTATTTTAAAATATTTTTTTCTTTTTTTAAATCTGTGCAGTTTATCTCTTTTAGAGCATTGTAATAAGTCCTACATTCCCTCTTCACAGCAGAGTGCCCAAAGCAGGAAGGGGATGGTCAAGGTCTCTCACAGAAAGGATGCCCACAGGGGATCACTTGGTACATAGACACATCCACACACATTTGTCCACCTTTCTGCTTTCTCTCACCCAAGGAGCCAGTGTATCAACCAGGTGAAAGAGGTGAAGGAGCAGTGTGAAGAGCAGAGAGAAGAGGTCACCAAAAAGAGAAAAGAAGCTGCGGCTTCCAGGGACCTGGGTGAAAAAAACAACCAACATCAGCAGGTAACTGAGGGCCTTTTCTGCGCAGGACGTCCAAAAGGCTTTCCTAGCACGGCCTTGGGCTCCTGGTGACTTCCATCACTAACTGCTCTGGCTTTGGTTCTCTAGGGTACAACAGAGCAAAACAATTCTGGGATGATTGAGGTTTTGTGTGTGTTTATATTTTCATTTCTCTTGGTTAATACTATATAGTAATGATCATAAGAGTAATCTTTATTTAACCTACTTAGAAACTTCCATGGTCATATTAACATTTCGACTAACAGCTTATGAGGGCTCTGTTTCTTTATATCCTCATTAGCGTTTGCTACTATTTATCTTTGTGATATAGCCTTCTATATGGGTGTGGAGTAATAAATAGCACATTACCATTATAATTTGCCTTTCTCTACTAACTTACTGGGCATCTTTTCGTGAAGTTTACTGGACATTTGGATTTTGGAGACATAGCTGTTTGCACCCTTTTCCTATTGATTTAGTAAGTTCTAAGAGTTTGTTATATATTCTAAATATATAAAGTGATATTGGATGTATGGTTTTCAATTTTTTTAAATCTGGATTGTAACTGCATTTCCTCAATACTATATATTGAAACACAGGTTTTAATTAATTACATCCACTTCATTTCTTTTATTGTTGTGTCATATCTAGGAAACACAAGACCATGGGGATGTACTTTATAGTTTTTAGCTCTGATTTTATAGCTCTATGTTCTGAGTTTATTTTTTCTTAGTCCTGGAGTTTGTTTTTGGAGTCTCTTGCATGTTAAGCAGGCTCTGCTCTCCTCTGACCTATCCCTCCAGCCTTTTTTGTTCTGGTTATTTTTGAGATAGGGTCTTAGTTTTTGATCTGGCTGACCTGGACCATGTTCTTCCTATTTTTACTTCCCTCCATAGCTAGGATGGCAGGTGTACACCAGCAGTCCCAGCCACGTCTGTTTTCTTCCTTTTTGTAATCCCCTGCCAATCCTGGAACTTGAACTCAGGGCTTAGACACTGTCTGTGAGCTTTTTTTTTTTTTTTTTTTTGCTTAAGGCTAGCACTCTACTGTTTGAGCCACAGCTCCATTTTTGTCATTTTGGTGGTTAGTTGGAAATAAGAGTCTCATTGGCTTTCTTGCCCAGTCTGGCTTTGAACAGTGGTCCTCAGATCTCAGGCTCTTGAGTAGGATCACAGGCATGCGCCACCTATGCCCAGCACATCCAGCTTTTTCAATAGATAAGAGAGTCTCATGAACTTTTTTTGCCCTGACTGGCCTGAACTTTTGGATTCAGATCATTGTGTTTATGATGCAGGTACTCTGCCACTTGAGCCATGTCTCTAGCCCCTTTGTGTTTTAGCTATTTTGAAGTAATATTGTGCTTTTATGCCTGGGCTTCCATCCTTCCCTAGGCTTCCCTGTATCACTGTGGAGGGCAGTCATGTTCCTCTGCATCAAGCCATTGATATCTCCCCCACACTACCCCCCTCCCAAGCCAGGATAAGAGTTGTTTGCTGCCACACCCAGGCTGGCAATGAACCTGTCTCCCCTCAGTTACCTCCCAAGGAGCTAGAATTATAGACATGAGCCACCATGCCTATATTTTTTTTTAGTAAATTTGAGTTTTTTTCTTTATTAATCTAGCTGAGCTTCCCAATTTTGTTCATCTTTTCAAAAAACTATTAGTTTCATTAACTTTCTGTATTGTTAGATTCTCCATTTCATTCATTTCCATATTTCCTTCCTTTAGATTCATTCAGCTGTTCTTTTTCTAGTGCCTCTTAATTCTTTACAAAATTATCGGCTGACATTAGTTGTAAGAGGGGATATCACTATTTCCACATATTTACCCCATATTCTGACTATTTTACCTCCTCTGTTACCTCTCCCTGCCCCCACTGACATCCCCAAACAGGTTTCCTCATTTTGTTTTCATACTTTTTTTTAAACTGCCTTAAGGTGACAAGATTGCAGTACACATTTGAGCTGGTTTGTTTGGTTGTTGATTTTTTTTTTAGGTTCACAGCAAAATCATTTGAAAGGAAAGTACAGACATTTCCTCTATCTCCCACTATCATGGTATATTTGTCACAGTTGGCGACACGACACTGAAACATCATAATTACTCAAATCCACAGAAAGGGTAGGGTGTACTGATGATGGGGTTTGGACAGTGTGTAATGTCATGAAGATAGGCCTAGTATCAGATTGAGGATTTTCACTGCCCTAAAGATAGCTCTGCTGTGCTCATTTATTCCACTCCTTGCCCCACCTACCCCTAGGAGACACGGATTTTTTCCATCAGTTGTGGGGCTTGAAATTGGGTCTGGGTTCTGAGTTTTTCTGCTCAAGGTTAGCACTCTACCACTCTGAGCCACAGTGCCACTTCTGGTTTTCTGGTGGCTAATTGGAGATTAGAGTTTCCCAGACTTTCCTGCCTGGGCTGGCTTTGAATCGTGATCCTCAGATCTCAGCCTCTTGAATAGCTAAGATTACAGGTGTGAGCCACCAGCACAGGTGACATGGGTTGTTTTTGTGACCAGTATTTCATTGTAGACTATTTCCTAAGTGGCTGTACTATCATACATCCCACCAGCAGTGAACAAGAGTTCCTGATGCTCCACATCCTTGCAGCTTTTGCAGTGTCAGTGTTCTAGATTTGACTTTTTCCATAATTATTGAGTGGTGCATTTCCTAATCTTTATATCATCTTTGGTGAGATGTCCCTTAAGGTCTTTGGTCCACCTTTAAAGTTGGATACTTAGGTTATTTTATTGTTAACCTTAAGGTTTATTTAAATATTTGGCATAAGATTCCTTTTTAAGATTTATCTTTTACAAATATTTTTCTCCCGGTCTGGAATTGAACCTAGGGCCTCATGCATGCAAGGTAGTGAGCCACCTTCCCAGCCCTCTACATTCATTTTTGAAAAGCTGTTGTGTTATATCACCATCATTTGTTGGAAAAGCCTATCTTTGTTTCCTCCATTGCTCCTTCATCAGATATCGCTTTACATTTATGTGGGTGTATTTTGGGGTTGTCTATTTTTTTTATTTCTAGTATGTTCCATTTACCTATTTGTCTTTCACAGTTAATAGCATCACAGTCTTGAAGTCGAGTAGTGTTGGGTCTCTTACTTTGTTTTCTCTCAGCATTGTCAATGCTGGGTCTTTTGATGTTCATAAAAACTCTAGAGTTGGTTAGTATTATCCACAGATAACTTAAACTATAACCACATTTATAGAACAAGTTAAGAAGAACCAACATCTTGGTAGTATCAAGTCTTCCTGATAACAAACATGGAACATTTCCCCACATAGTTCTTACTTGATTTCTTCAGAGTTTTGTAGTTTTCCTCCTAGAGTTTTGTCAGTTTGTTAAATTTATTCTTTAGTACACACACACACACACACACACACACACACACACACACACACACACACACACACACACACACACACACACACACACACACACACACAGTTCTTCAACATCCCTGAGCAAGAAGAATTTGAAATTAAAAAGCTTAATACCATTTACATAATCACCTTAGTATTAAAACTGTTTTAAGTACAATGTTGAAAAGAAATGGTAAGCTGGTAGTGTGGCTCAAGTGGTCAGACCCTGACTCCTTCATTACCACACCCTCCCACCAAAACAATGAAATGAACAAAGAAATAACTTCCTTCTATTTTGACTTATTCCTTATATTAATGGAAAAGCTTTCTCACTGTTAAGTATGATACTTGCATTAATGTTTTGTTTTTATTCTCAGGTTGAGGAAATGTCCTTTGCTCCAGCTGTTAGTTTTGAATGTGTCTATTAAGATGATCCCTGATTTTCTTCTTTAGCCTGTTGATATGATGATGCACACAATTGTTTTTCAAATGTGTTTAGACTTGCATAATCTGGAATAAATCACATTAGGTAATGGTGTAGAAATCTTTATAACTTTTGGATTTCATTTGATATTTTGCTGAGTTTTGAAATGTGCTCATGAGAGATTCTGGTCTTTTAGTTTTTTTGTATTGTCTTTGGCTTTGGTATTGGGATATTGCTAGCTATGAATAATAAGTTAGTCTGCATCTTTCTTCTGAAGCAATGTGGAATTAGTATAATTCTTTAAATGTTTGTTAAATTCACTAGTGAACACACCTGGATCCAGTGCTGTCAGTTTTACAGGTCACTAATTACTGATTTAATTTCTATAATAGACCCGGGACTATTTATAGATCTGTGTGTATGTGTGTGTGTGTGTGTGTGCGCGCGCGGCATGACAGGGACCTGAACTCAAAAGCTCTGAGCTTTTGCTCTTTTCATTCAAAGCTGGCGCTCTACCACTCACTCCTTCATTACATAGATAATGCATATCATCTTATGTGTAAATTTGAACAAAAATTGGTCTATTTCATCTGAGGTTTTTGTCAAGTTTTCTTCCTTGATATATTTGTGTGTTGTCTCTGAATTTTTAAAGAGTTTTCTTTCTGATTATTTTCTATAGTTTTGAAATGGTGTGCCTAGGTGTAGATTTCTTGGATTTATCCTGCCTGCTGTTCTGAGTTTTCTGGACCTGTTTTAGCTTTTGACATCTATTTTGGGAAAGTTCTGATTTATTTTGAATTTGTCTCTGATTCATGTTGTATGTACTTTTAAACCAGTTGTAGTTGTCTTATGGCACTTAGTTATTGTTATTTTATTCTCATTTAGGCTTTTATTTAAATATCCTTGATCTCAGAGAATCTGTCCAGCTGTGCCCAGTCCAGTAATATATACATCAAAGCTTTTATTTTCTTCATTTGTTTTAGTGGTTTTGATAGCTGGCATTTGTCCTCTTTCTCCATCTCTTAAAATTTCCATCTCTCTGCCTATAATGTCTATCCTTCCATGATGCCTACTTTTACGTTAGTCTTTGGCATATGAATTATAGTTGTTTTAAATTCCTGCTCTGGGAAAATCTAACATCTCTGCCATGTCTAGTTTGATGTTTACTTTCACTCCAATTTTTCTTTTCTTTCAGAATGCCTTTTAATTATTTTCTTGGCAGCTGGACATAAGAGGAACTGTTGTAAATAGACCTTTATGAGATAGAAATGGGAAGCACTCTGGACCTAGGAGTAAACTTCAGTCTTTTAGTGAGCTAGAATGATCCTTCTTCCTACACCTTGATACATCTAAGTACCCATCACCCTCCCATACTTATGAGAATTCCCAACATGAGCTAGAACTGGGTATTTCCCTACCTTTAGATCTATTAGCCTGATAATCACCCCTGCAGCTTAGTGAACATCTTGTTAAAGGAGAATGAGTATTCTCTGGCTTATTTCAAAGTGGTTCCTCTTCTCTTCCTACTGCTAGAAGGAACCAGAGATTGTTCAGTTTACTGTGAGAAGTTGGTGAGCTGGAGGTTAATTGGTGGGGCGGAGGACTCCTTCCTATAACTGGGTCTCTTGGAATTTTTAGGTAGGGCTTGTCTGTACTGAGGTTGTAAATTACAATTCAGGATTCCCCACCCCAGCCCTAGTACACCAGTGGTATCTGCTTGAATTCTTTTCTCTGTAAACTAACTCCAATCTTAGGGGCAAGGCTTTGCTTGTATAGCCCCAAGAATTGATGGGTGTTGTGACTTTATCCTTTTTTAGACTACATGATGACTTCTAAGGTGCTTTAATTGGGAACTTCTTTAATACAGGTGTTGAAATGTACAAATGCCTCTGCACACTGCTTTAGCTGCCTCCCGTAGGTTCTGGTATGATATGTTACTTTTTTAATTTGTGTCTAAGTATTTTTCTCATTTGCTTTGTGATTTCTTGTTTGATCTATTGGTTATTTGTGTTTAATTTCCATATAGTTTAAGTTTCTCAAGTTTTATTGTTATTTATAGTTTTCATTTCATGCTTATGATTCCTGTCATTTAAGTTCATTGCAGCTTGATGTGTGTAGCCCACCCTATGTTGTGCTGGGGGTGGGGGTGGGGAGAGTTACCCATGTGCACGAGAACACACATTCTTCTCTTGTTAAGTCTTCTATAGCTGTTTGTTCAGTCTAGCTAATTTATGGTAGAGTTTATCTTTTTCACTAAATTTTCCTGCCTGGTTTTTACTTTTAGTATTGAATGTACTTTCTGTGACATCTGGACTTAAAATCTCAAGTCTGTTGATATATATATACCACAAACAGGGTAGATAATAGTGTTTTTCATGTTGTAGAGTTGTCGGAAGGGTGTGGTGATAGACGGATCGCATGTGTGAGGTCCTTGTAAGGTTTGCCACTGAGTCCTAATTTGGCCAACCTGTGCTACTGTTTCAGCTCCAAGTCCTCAGTGATTCCCAACCCAGACAGCAAGAAGTAGGCCAGACACAAGCCCAAGTGCCACAAGGCAAAGAACATGCACTTAGCAATGGCAAATTTCCAACATCAACCCCAAGTTCTGAGGTGGTTATGGATTTGAAGAGAGGGAAGAAAGGTAGGTGGAAGTCACTTTTATATTCACATCCTCTTGCATCTTAAAAGCAGTAGCAGTACATGCCCTCTGGTCCCTACAGCTACTCTGAGGACTAGAGGTAGCTGGGAATCAGCACTGGGGCTGATAAGTACAGGTGTGTTATCTGAGCGCCTACCTCCATTGGGTTGGTACAGAGTTCCTTCTCAAATTGATAAAATATATTTTTAAGCCAATCATCTTGTTGGTTAGCAGCTGTGAAAGTATAAGACACCAGTGGGATTGTGGCACTGTGAGACAGGATTGGAGCCCAGACAGCCTTCCTCCGGGGTGGTCAGCATGCCTGGCTCCCAATGTGTGTCTCAGCAGCCTCCTCCCCTTGTAGCTTGTCAAATTTTTTAGTCCAGATCACGTTTGACACTTTTTCTCTTGTTTACTGTGAAGACAAGCTATAGCATACAGACCAGTCGCACCAAGGTCACAAAATAAGCTTTCAGCTCCACACCCCACACCCAGGAACACTGTTTTCAATTAAAGTGCTGTTAACATCAGTTAACTGTTCCGTGCACAGATAAAACCAACAAGATCCAGGTTGTCATCGAGGAGCCTGAGGGAGACAGTCTGGGGCTGCCCCAAGAGCCAGGCCAAGGACAGGCTGTGGAAGACAGACTTGGCACAGAAGGCTTTGTGGGAGCTGGTAAACTTGGCCAAACTTCTCAAGCACCAGCTGTGCTGCTGGCAAGGCCTGCAAATAAGGAGCCTGAAGATCCTGAGCGGGAACAGCTGGTTATCCAAGATGGGCAGGTGGAGCAGGGCACTTTGGAGGAAGGTACGCTGGGTTCCACAGGCATCTCTATCTGGCCTTCATCTCCTAATGGATGTGTTCCCTTCAATTTTGCTTAAGGGCAGTTAATATTTTTTGTCTACATGTATTACCAAGTGGGAAGCAGGAAGGAAGGGCACTGCGCATCAGTGTACTTTAGTGCACTTTACTTTAAATGCTAACAGAAAGTTCAGAGGACTTTAAAGTCTACAGTGTTGAGATGGTGCTTAACATAAAATGTCTCAAAACAGGCAGGCCCACCCCATGTGTGGTACCTGTTGTAGATATAGCCTGGCAAATGAAAGAATGGAGGAAAGAATGATTGGGGAGATGGTAGTTTGTGCATCTTTGAGCACCGAAGAAAAGAAAGGTAAAATAAGAGTCCCATCTTTTAATAGTAGGAATGTGAGACCAGCAGAGTCCGACAGAGTACTCTGGGATATAATGCATGTCTTAAACCTGTAAAAGCACCGCACCCCACCTGGGCCTGCAGCACTTTATGAAATACCCCATGGCTCTCACGTGGCTAACCGAGCACAACTGGCACAGGGGTTGGCCTGAGCTAGTGTAAGGTCTGTGGGATGTATCTGCTTCAGATGCACGTAATGATCCCATCTGAAGAATAAACCCAGAATAGATGTTTCCAGGCACGCTTTTAAAAGCTTTTGTTTTCTACCTATTACATATATTAAATGTATAACCCTTTTCAGTGGTTCTCTACCTAATTTTCTCTTTGGTCTTTTTTTTTGGGGGGGGGGGGGGGGGGGAGGAAGGGTATGTATGGGATTGAACCCAGGACATTGCACTTGCTAAGCAAGCACTGTGCCACTGAACTACAGCCCAGCCTGAATGACTAAGAGACAGTTTAATCCTTTGGTTACTATTGGTTACTATTGGTTACAATAGTACCTCCATTCTGCCTTGGGATCAGTAGGCCATTCTAAGGACATGCTGTTTATTAACTAGAGACCTGTTGTTTCTTTTTAGTTTCTTTATAGTTTTAAACTTATTTTGTGGTACTGGGTATGTTCAAATGCACTTAGGGTCTGTCTTGTGCGCTAAACCACTTGAACTTACCCCCATTCCCCACATCCCCACCAGAGCCACACTTGAAGTACCATGGTGCTTATACTGGAAGCAAGTCCCTTTGCAGACAATGGACTATTAGGTTAACACTCAGATGCAGATGTGTTGGTATTCCTGTGGTATCAAGAGGAATGAAGTGGCTTTATGTTTCATCTAATAGGGAAAAATGAGCACAAACTGGGAGATGATGAGTACAACATGGATGAAAATGAGGCGGAATCTGAAAGAGACAAGCAGGCCGCCCTTGCAGAGAATGACAAGAACTCAAATGGTAAGAACACTGGTTTCTGCTCCTTCACTTTGACTGTGTAATGTTGATAATAGTGTAGTCCTTCATTTCAAGACTTTTCTTGAACATAGTGTAGTCCTTCATTTCAAGACTTTTCTTGGGTAGCCTTTGAAAGCAGCAGGGTAGTGGAATACCATAAGATGCACTTGGTACTGGTTGGAAGATATGTTGGGTCCCACTTTTGCCAATCCACAACTCCCCCCACCCTGCCTTTCACTTTGTCTGCCACTAGTTTTCCTGTTGATTCAACTTGTACCACAGTGTTCTACAGCTTTCAATACTACCCTGTAAGGCTAGCCACCTGGCCAGAGTCCTGAAAAAATGTTACTTCCCATTCTGTTTCTTCAACCCATTTATTAGCAGGTCTTTTCATTCCATTCCTGTTTTTTTTTTTTTGGGTCGGTCATGGGGCTTGAACTCTGGGCTTGGACACTATCCCTGCACTCTTCAGCTCAAGGTGAGCACTCTACCACTTAAGCCACAGTGCCACTTCCGGTTTTCGAGTGGTTTATTGGAGATAAGAGTCTCACGGACTTTCCTGCCCAGGCTGGCTTTGAACCATGATCCTCAGATCTCACCCTACTGAGTAGCTAGGATTACAGGCAAGCCACTGGCACCCGGCGCCATTCCTGTCTCTTGACACTTAAAAAAAATTTCTGCCTCTTTAGGCTGCAGACTAATTTCCTCAATCTTCTGTATTCTATGCTTTATCCCTATCTGCTTTTTTTTTGTTCCAACTTGTAATGGATGGTGCTAGGGATCAAACTTGTCATACTTGCTAGAGAAGTACACTACCACACTCTATAACCTTTTTATTGCAGTTAAGAGCAAATATTCATCTCCAAAATAATCAGCAAAAAGCATGGTTGATCTCAAGTGGTAGAGCACTAGCAGAACAAGTGTGAGGCCTTGACTTTAAACCCTAGTACTGGCCAAGGGAGGAAAATAAGGTTCTTAGTAACTTTGTGCAGACCAGCCTTGAACTCAGGATCTTCCTGCTTCTGTCTGCAGAGTATCTGAGATCACAGGTATGCAATCACCCCTAATTACCTTACTTGCCTTTTTTATATTCATGGGACTGGGATTTTGAACTCAAGGTGCACACTTGCTAGCTAGGTACTCTATGCTTCTAGTCATACACCCCAGTCCTTGTATTGAACCATTATCTATCTTTGTCTCTTATGAGGCTAAGCTTACAGGTGTGTACCACTTTATCCATTGGCAGGGGCAGTGTGGGGGGGAGGGGATCCTCCCTCTGAACTTCTTTGCACCAGCTAGCCTTGAACTACCATCTTCCCTACAGTCTCTCAGGTAGCTAGAATTACAGGTGTAAGCCACCAGTGCCAAGTTTTATCTGCTCTTTAATATATGCGTTAATTTAAATTTATCCTGCAGCCATGTGTTCACAATACCTTATTTTGTTGTATTTTGTGCTTTTTGACTCTGAGCTCTTACTAGAGTCCTTTGGAAGTTTATCTGTGGAAAGTCTTGGTGACATTGCACCTCACATGGTAGTTTGAACTGAGGGCACTACAGCTCAGACCCTCTTTAAGTATTCTTTGGTTTTGGTTGGATCTATAAACTTGCATTCATCTTGTGCTTAACACCATGTGGTGCACACACTAGGCTTTCTTGCTGTCCTATTTTCTTTGCAAGTTTATACACCATTGCCTTTAAACCAGGAAAAAGCAGATTTGGGATTTTGGTACCATGTGGGGTTATCTGCCTGAATAGATGGATCCTGAGTTTTTGTGTCCCTAACCTTTGGGAATTGTGAGGAGAAAAGAAAGTCTTGTTATCGTCAGACTTCTGCAGATGCCTTCATTTGTAATCACATGAACTATTCTTAATGTTTTAAACTATTTTTTTAATAGTACTGGGGTTTTAACTCAGGGCTCTGCACTTGTTAGGTGGGCACTCTACTACTTGAGCTAGTACCTTCAGCCTTTTTGCTTTATTTTTCAAATAGGGGCTTGCATTTCATTCACTCTAGCCAGCCTAAATGGCATCCTACTTATGCATTCCATTAAGCTTTGATGATCATGCCCAGCTATTATTGGCTGAGAGAATTGCCTTATAAACTTTTCTCTGCCTTCTGAATAGCTAGGATTACTAGCATGAACCATCATTCCCAGCTTAGTGTTTATAATAGTCTTCAGAAAATTACATTTTAAATTCAGACTTGAAAAATTAGTAAAATGAGTTTCTATTTGCCCTTCATCTAGGTTCCCTGTTAACCTTTTATGTAATGACAGTATAGCTGTCTAAATAAATTGAGCTATGTATACACTTGTAATCGCAGGCATACTTTGGGGGTGGGATTGGAATGATCATGCTTCAAGGCAAAAAGTTCATGACTCCACCTTAACAAGTTGGGCGTAGTGGTGTAAGCATATACAGAAAACATATCTAAGAAGGATCACAATCTTCAGACAGCCACCAGCAAAAATGAGAGAGATCCTGTGCATAAAAGCAAAAAAGGGATGGGACGTATTGCTCAAATGGTATGGAGTACTGGCTAGGCAAGCACAGTCTTGAATTCAAAACCCAATACTACTATAAAGGAAAAAAAGTTTTTTTCTGGTCCTGGATCACATATTGCAATTCCTGCAATTTCCACCTTTTCAAGGTAAAAATAAATGCTGTTAGCTTTTTAAAACTGTTTTAAGTGGAAGTAATGTCACCAATATCAGCTTCAACAATAAAATTGAATCACTGAAATAGTTTTTAAGACCTTGCTTGCTCCAGGGAACTTAAATATCATTTAATATGTCATTAAAGTAAACTGTTAAAAGATCTTCTAAGTTTCATTTGACATGCTCTTTCTGTTACTTGTCAAAAGTTAAGAGTAAGGCTTGTGGTAGAAGCTATGGACAGACTTGAGTTTTGCAGAGAAAGCTTTGGAATAGAAAGTGGATGTGAAACTGCCAATAGGTTCTTCACCAAAGTGCTCCTGAGCCTGAACTTGGCAGGAAATCATGACTGCAAAGGGTCCTGAGCAGGGTCACTGTGTTTCAGAAGCTGTTGCTGGGCTGTCTTATCTTTGATTAGAATGCTATTCCAAATTACTGTTGTGGGAGATACAAACCTCTTTATGACACTTTGAAGAAAGTTGTGTTAAATGAGATGTACCAGAGTGTTTTGCAAAATGTTCAATTCCAGAATATTTTTTTCCTTTTTAGTTTTTAATGCTGAAGATCAGAAGAGAGATACCATAAGTTTACTTGATCAACATGAAAAGCAGAATCATACACTCTAAATCAAAACTGGAATTACATATTTCATTGCAGAACTGAAGAGAAACTACAAAATATGAGTAACTCAGTACTCACAACTGAAATTTGCTGTAAAGTGTATTACTAAAGATGGATGTTGTGGAATCGTAGTATATATTGTATGTAGGAAAAAATGGATCTGTCAGATATGTTTTCGTAATATGCCTGTATTAAGATATGAAAATTGGTGAAACTTTTTTGGCTAATAGGTAGTTTTTCCAATAATGGTGGTGAGTGACTACCACTTCTTTATTTTGGTATACACTATATACGGGGAGGGAAGAGCAGCCTACAACAGAGCTCCTCTGATACAAAGGAGAAATTGGCTACGCAGAGAACTGTATGGGTTTCCTCTGGTGTCCTCCACATTGCAAGAATTTTAAAGAGCGACTATTTGCATAGTATTTTGTAACTCTTATTGTACCAAACAAGTAAATGACATGTAAACATTTGTGGTTTTTACTATACTTCATATTCATGAGCAAAAGTGAAGTTATCTTGGTCTCTGCTATTAAAATGACTAGCTTTCAGACTTCCAACATAAGGGGCTGGTTCCAGGCATGTCTAGCACTTGCAAGACAAATGTTGGAATAGATCTGCACTTACTTTAAATAAAAAAGTTAGTTATTGAAGGTTACATGCAGTGAGAAATTGAGCATGTTCAGCAAGGGCAAGAGACACTGTACTTCTGTTGTAGCTTATGGTAAATGACTCACAAGATTGATTTAAGTTTAGGATGTCAATTTTGAAAATTACTTATAACAGTGATGATGATATCGTTTGATTGAAGTTGGGGCCTCTGGCATCCAGCACTGAGAGGTAAAGTCAGTTTTTCACAACTACAGAGTACTGAATAGACTCAGCACTTGAATTTGTTTCATGAGAACTAGATGGAGTGTGATCTGTACATTTTTACCTTCTTATGACTGTCAGCAGCCATAATGTTCAATTTTGTGTGTATTGGTCCTGGAGCTTGAACTCAGGCCCTAAGAACTGTCCCTGAGCTTTTTTGCACAAGGCTAGCTAGTACTGTACCACTCAAGCCATAACTCTACTAACTTTTTGGTAGCAAACTGGAGATAAAAGTCAGCCCTAGCTGACTTTGAACTGTTGATCCTTAGCTCTCAGCCTCCTCAGTAGTTAGGATTACAGGTGTCAGACACCAGTGCACAACTGGTGGTTAATCTTTCAAGTGCCAAAAGTAACAAGTTTTTAAAGAACACTATATTTTATGCAATGTCATGTAAAATGACCATCCCCATGTGTTTTTTAGGCTCCCTTTATATCTTAGAAATTCTGTAGTTTGAAACTTCTTTCAGGTAAAACTGTGTGTGTGTGTGTGTGTGTGTGTGTGTGTGCACACGCATGCGTGTGCAAATGTGCACCAGTCCTAAGGCTTGAACTCAGGACCTGGGGGCTTCCCTTGTGCTCTTTTGCTCAAGGCTAGCACTCTACCACTTGAGCCACAACTACACTTCTGGCTTTTTTGGTAAAGTGGAGATGAGAGTATCACAGACTTTCCCTGCCTACTCTAGCTTGAAAATGTTATCCTCAGATCTTAAGACTCCTGAGTAGATAGGATTACAGGTCTGAGACACCTGGCTGATGATTTCTTTTTAAACTGCTGAAATGGTATAAGTTAAACATCTGTGATTCTTAGCTTGTATCAACAGAATGGTACTTTTTTTTTTTTTTTTTGGTCAAGAAATTTATTAACCTTAACAAACACTATTTTCACTCAATCATTCATAAAAAATGGTTTATGATTAAATATGTAATAAAACCATGTAATGTTCATCAATGCATTCAGTAAGACCAGTTTCAACCATGGAACTAATAAACCACTTTAAAACAGCAGTTTTCACTAATGTCATGTAAGGCTGTCAAACCAAGTATTCCTTATAATGGGGTTGTTATCCAAAAAATCCATTCTACTTTACACATATGTACTGAGACGGATGGATGTTTCCCTAAGAGTGGAATCGGATTCCACCGCTTTATGGTTACCTTTTCAGACTTTCAAACAAGTTTCACGACAGGAAAATATTTGTGAACAGAGAAATCAAATTCTGGAGGAACCTGTAAAGAAAACCACAAAGTCACGTAATATATCTGCAAGAATTCAGACAATAAACACAGTAGACACTATTTTATTAGCGTTTGTTTTCAGAACAAAGATAACATAAATGAGAGATTGGTGTGACCACAAAAAGTAAAAAGCTTGAAGGAAAAAAATCAAGTGTTTCTGGTTTATGAAGGCCATCAGAAACACATACAAATCAAGCTCTTCCCAAAGAGTTAAAATGGACATAAATTACAAGAAAGGAGTTTTAGATCAGCAGACAAAACTTTTTTATTTCAGGGCCACTTATACCATGTAATGACATGAGAGCCATTGCTAAAGGAAACAAAAGAACAAAGATACAGCAAAAGAGCAGTGAGAGATATGAGGAATGGCCAGCAAAAAAGCTCTGGTGGGCTTCTTTGCAGGTCTCACATGCTGCTACAGCAGTGTTACTGAGGAAAATCTAAAAATACTATCCTCTGTGCTCTTTAAAATGAAATCTTCAATTGTTGAAGTACTGACTTTCTCAAAGTCAAATGACTTAAATTATCACCTACTTCTCCCCCAAATTTGCTTTTATACATATGGTTTCCCAAATTATACAGTAATTTATATGGGAAAGGGGATGCAGACTAGAAACTTAAGTCACCAAGTATCTCTCAAGACGTGGCAAGTTTTGCTCTTCAGTTGCTAAACTTACCCTAACAACTGTACATCTTACTCAAAACATGAGTTTTCACAATAATTTTCCACATAATGTATTTACCTTTGACTCTTTTTTGTGACCTCCTGCCAGCAACTTCATAACCACAAAGTTGGGTTTGGCAACCTTTAAAATTCTATTGACCTAAAATATGAACACCATTAAGCTGTCATAAGATGTACAGTCAAAATTTATATAGTATTTACATATGAGAACTTTGCATGTGTGGACATTTTATTAAATAAAGGCAGTTTACATATACTTTTTAAAAAAATCTTATATGCACATTTGCTACGGACAATTATACTAACACATCAAGATCTCCATCTCACTTGAAAACCAGAAAATAAGTCAGCCATCTTTTTTTTATCACCCAAGAGCTAAACATCCAGTAAGGTTTCCATGCCTTCATATGATGATTTCATCCTGGCATTGGGGTAGAAAAAGATCCATCCACAGGACCAAATTAAAAACAAGAAAACTTGTGGGTAGGGACAGGAGGAAAAATGGAAAGAGCAAGGAAAGGGACGACACTGTTAAAAAAAAAAAAGTACTCACTACCTGATTTTACATAGGATACTTTAATAACAGAATTTTTCTCCCATCAACTGAAATCTTGAAAGGGCTACGCTAATTTGTTTCCATGAAAACAACACAACATTAATCTGTCAAATTCTGTAGAGTGGGACTGAACAGTGTTTAGAGGATGGGTCTTGAAATCAGCCTATATGTTTTCAAATCCCAGCTTTGCCCCTGACTAGCTGTGAACTCTCTGAAAGGTCTCTAATCTCTGTTCCTCAGTTTCACCATCTATACAAATGAAGATAACTTACCTATCCTAGGGAGATTAGTTGTGAGGAGTAAATGAGCTAACATATACAGTAACGTGCTTCATAATATTTCAGTCTGTCCACAAATACAGTGGTCCCATAGATACGATGCAGAGCTGTATTCAGTGATGTTAGGCAATACAGTCTAACAAGGCATTTCTGATCGTATATACTATTACATGACACACGACTGTATTAAGAGCATGGACAATGGTGGTAAGTAGTGCATGCCCTTAGAGTAGTAACTCATTTCTAACACTTGGTCTAAAAAGCTTCATTTGAACACAGGAGTAATAACAGGATGAGGACACTGGATTATACTTATGTTTCCTCTGCAGTCTCTCTCTGGAAACATACATTATTATCACAGTTCAGGACTGAATCTTCAACCTCAGGTCAACATCCACCTGCCTAGGGAACAACTCTGTTTTTAAACATCCAATGGGCACCAAAATTTAACATGGCCAAAACAATTCAGCCCTGTTCCTGCTCTACTGGCAGTTTTCCACCTGCTCAGGCAAGACCTTCAAGGTACCTGGACTGCTCTCCCATCCTCTATCCAGCCTATCAATCAGTTCAAAAGAGGTGGTCTTCAAATACAAAGAAAAGAAAATCACTTTTTGTATGTGTGCACCAGTCCTGGGGCTTGAACACAGGGCCTGGGCACTGTCCCTGAGCTTTTGTGATCAAGGCTAGCACCCTTACCACTTTGAGCCACAGCTCTATTTCCTCCTTTTTTGGTAGTTAATTAGAGATATGATTCTCACAGACTTTCCTGCCTGCGCTGGCTCCCAACCATGATCCTTAGATCTCACCCTCCTGAGTAGCTAGGATTATAGGCATCCGCCACTGGCACTTGGTGACAATCACTTTTCATTATCTCCACTACTACCATCATCTCTCAACTTAATTACAGCTATTATCAACACCCTGACTGGCTCCCTGGATTCTACCTTTTACCCTGATATAATTACAAATATCCTGATTTTTTTTCCCCCAACAATGTGCCAAAGTGATCCTTTAAAACAAAGACAAGATCTCTCCTTTGCTCAAAACCCTCTAATATAGCCAGGTGCTGGTGGCTCATGCCTGTGATCCTAGCTACTCAGGAGGCTGAGATCTAAGGATCACAGTTCAAAGCCACCCCGGGCAGGAAAATCCGTGAGATTCTTATCTCCAATAAACCACCAGAAAACCGGAAGTGGCACTGTGGCTCAAGTGGTAGAGCGCTAGCCTTGAGCTGAAGAGCTGAGGACAGCACCCAGGCCCAGAGTTCAAGCCCCATGACTGACCCCTCAAAAAAAAAAAAAAAAAAAAAAAACCCTCTAATATTCACTGTGCTGCTTTCCTCACTCCACCACACCAGTTCTTCCATGTTCTCCAAATACTCCAGGGATACTCTTATCCCCTGTGTTTCAACATGTAGATGCCTCTACCCAGAAGGCTCCATCTCTAAATATCCATGAGATTTGGTTCTTTACCTAGGCTTAATTCAAAAACCATTTAAAACACCTGGGTTTAGGATATGTCTGGTAGAACGCTTGTATAAGCATTCACAAGGCTCTGGGTTTAAGGTCCGACATAAACACAGACTTTCATGCACACATGCACAAAATCCCTTCACATCTATCTCCACTCTGTTTTTTGTTCATGTGCTATGAAATAAATAATGCACTACATAATTTAGTTACTGTCCACAACCCAGCACCCACCCCTTAACTCCAATGTCAGTTATTTTCTGCTTGGGACACAGTAGGTGTTCAGTTAATCTTAGATGAATAAATTAAATTTTCACTAAATGAAAAATGCCATCTAGCTACTTCACTCAATTTTTTGTATTACTGTATTAGCCAAAATATGGTATATAAAAAGTCTCTTTCCTATTTCTATTCTCCAAGACACTCAGCTCTCCTCCAAAGAAGCAAACATATTATCAATCATTCCATATCCTTTCAGATACACCAATATGAGCAAATCTTGGGTAATGCATTTTTCTTTGTGCCTTTTTTAATTTTAATTTTTATTTGTTGGTCAAGGGGCTTGAACTCTGGGCCTGAGCTCTGTCCCTCAACTCTTCAGCTCAAGGCTAGTGCTCTACCACTTGAGCCAAAGCACCACTTCTGGTTTTCTGGTGATTTATTGGAGATAAGAGTTTCACGAACTTTCCTGCCCAGGCTGTCTTTGAACCTCGATCCTCAGATCTCAGCCTCCTGAGTAGCTAGGATTACATGTGTGAGCCACCGGTGCCCGGCTGTGCCTTTTTTTAAACTGAAATAGCAGTAAACTATACACTGTTTGGGACCTTGGTAATTTTTAAATTTATTATAGCCTAAAGAACAATACACAAATCTGTTCAATGAAACATAATTTCAATGGAACATAATTTCTATCAATTTACTGGTGAGCACTAAAGTTTCTCCCGCATTTTTGCTATTAGATATCCTGACACAGTGCACACCCTTGTCTATCCTTCACTTCTCTAATTTTCCTCTGTATGCATTTGTATCTACAAGATAAATCCCAAGAAGCAGAAGTGCTGAGCCTAAACGTTTTGATTTTTGCTACTACCAAATTATCCCTGAAAGGAAGCTGTTAATAAACTCATATTAGCCAAAACAGTGTACATAGATTACAGGTAACTCTTTGTAGAATATTTCAATAAAATTAGGGATATTGTAATTATTAAAATAATCCAGTTTTCTAAAGCAAAAGGTTTAAGGTAAAAAAGTTGAATAATGTTCCTGTGATACTGAACAAAATGTTTCATATTTAAGATTTAAAATAGGTTAGCAAAACTATTTGAAATCCTTGTCAAAAACCTAACAGGCTGTACTTACTAATAATATGAAGTTCATTATTATACTTAATGCTGATCTAGTACTTTCTGCTAAGCTTGTCCCCTAAAGGTGCAGTGAATCCTGGCTTACCTCATGGTCTGGGCTGGGGATATTTTCCAATATTATTTTTGCTTGTTGAAAATGCTTACTAGCTGCCACATACAACTCTGGAGACTGAGGAGGAGGGCTGTATTTGTTGAGGTCAGACATCTCCTAAAAGGAAGGGAGACTATTATTTAACATGCTTAATATAGAAAGTCAAAAGTACCTTTTTTTTTTTTTTGGTAGGTCATGGGGCTTGAACTCTGGGCTTGGGTGCTATCCCTCAGCTCTGCAGCTCAAGGTGAGCATTCTACCGCTTGAGCCACAGCGCCACTTCCAGTTTTCTAGTGGTTTTTATTGGAGATGAGAGTCTCACAGACTTTCCCACCCCAGCTGGCTCTGAATCATAATCCTCAGATCTCAGCCTCCGGAGTATCTAGGATTACATGTGTGAGCTACCGGCACCCGGCTCAAAAGTACCTTTTTAATTACAGAACTCTATACTGACTGTTCATATAAAAATGTTGAAGCAAATACTTTGCTCATCTTCCAATTTTTTATGTAACATTCAATTTTCAATTCTCACTTTAGTCTCATAATTTAAATAATTGCTAATACAAAGAATACACCTAATGAAGCAAAATCTTTTCACTCTAAAATTGTTACTTAATAACCAGCAAGTCTGACAATGTAGTTTAACAGGATGGCTGACTGGGTACAAATAGCACATCTCTAAGATGGTAAGACCAAAGACCTTTGAATGAGCGACTTACCTTGAATTGTAGATAGTGCACTGGTGGTGGTGTCATCACACTATTGAATGGAGCAAACCTATGCTCATACCGAACTTGTTCACTATCAAGCTCAAATTTGGGTTTGCGTACTTTTCCATCCATGTCAAATGCTACCATGGTCTAAAGGAAAATGGAGTAAGAAAAAAAGGAAAACATATGTAAAAGTCTTCATTAATACAGACTTGAAAACAACTCCCTGCTATTTAAATGTCTCAGAAATCAGAAACAAGAAAAACTGACCTCTTAGTATTTTTTATGAGCTATGTTTTACACAAAAAAAACTGAAGTTCCAGTATTATTGTCACAGTGTAATTACACCACACGCCCATTTTTTTTCCATGTTTCATACTTTTGCAATTTTTTCAGGTAAAAGCTTCCAGTAAAAGAAACAAATAGCAACTCCCCAGGCACTGGCAGCTCATGCCTGTAATCCTATTCAGGAGGCTGAGACAGTTCAAAGCTAGCCTAGGCAGAAAAATCGGTGAGACTCTTATCTCCCATAAACCACCAGAAAACCAGAAGTGATAGAGCGCTAGCCTTGAGCTAAAGAGCTGAGGGACGGCACCCAGGCTCAGTGTTCAAGCCCCATGACCCACAGAAAAAAAAAAAAAAAGAAAAAGAAATAATGTGTAATTTTCTTAAGCACAGGCCTTGTTTTTCAAACATCCTCTTTTTGCTTTATGGATTTAATATATTATAATCATTTCAAATAATTTCTTGAAATGCCTAGTGCAATTTAAAAAAAAGTCCTTACTATCTCTTGGAAATGTCTACTTCAGTTAACCGTTATCTCATTGTGCAGTCCATTCCCTTCCTAATGCAGACCTTTAAACACCCACATTTCATATTTTCAACAGAATCTTTACTGTCATATCAAAAGTAGCTCTTCTCTTACTGCCCATGTCACATATGGCTTGTGTGGTATAATCTAGGCATGTGTGAAGCAAGAACCAGTGTACTCAGTACAAAGGATCTGACACATAAAAGTTTTATGAATGGAAAAAAAAAAGAATCTAACATATAGCAAGGGTTCAAATGCTTGTTGTTGAAAACAACTAGAATTGAAAAAAGGCAATTGAAAAAGGCTTTAAGCAGATAGGAAGAAAACAAAGGTAAAAAAAAGAATCTGGTAAGAGTCATGGTTTTTTCCCATTTAAAATAAACTGTATAATATATTTAGACAGGAAATGGAGTTTTCATTTTTAATGACTTACTTTAAACATTCCAGCACACATGTTCTGATAGGCTTGGCTCATTGTGATCTCACGGCTCAATGGGCGAACTGTAATTAAAGAGAAAAATCTTCCATACACATTTTTCCTACTTAAATTACTTCAGAAAAGAAACTAATTTTTAAAATATCTGCTGGGCCGGGTACCGGTGGCTACACCTGTAATCCTAGCTATTCAGGAGACTGAGATCTGAGGATCATGGTTCAAAGCCAGCCCAGGCAGGAATGTTCATGAAACTCATCTCCAATAAACCACCAGAAAACTGGAAGTAGCACTGTGGCTCAAGTGGTAGAGCGCCTGCCTTGAGCTGAAGAGCTGAGGGACAGCACCCAGGCCCAGAGTTCAACCCCGACGACTGACCAAAAAAAAAATCTGCTGGGTGCTGGTGGCTCACATCTGTAACCCTAGCTACTCAGGAAGCTGAGATATGAGGATCAAAGTTCAACGCCAGCAGACACAGAAAGTTCCTGAGATTAGTATCTCCAACTACTTAAAAAAGCTAAAGTTAGGGGCTGGCAAGGTGGCTCAGTGGTAGAGTGCTTACCCTGCATGCATGAGGCCCTGGGTTCGATTCCTCAGCACCACATAAGCAGAAAAAGTTGGAAGTGGCGTTGTGGTTCAAGTGGTAGAGCACTAGTCTTGAGCTGAAGAGATGAGGGACAGTGCCCAGGCCCAGAGTTCAGGCCCCACAACCAACAGCCCCCAGTGGTACAGTACTGAACTAGAGCAAATTAGCTCATGGCCCCAAGCTCAAACTCTAGGACCAGCACTAAGTAAATAAAACTTCCAGACTGTTCACTAAAATGAAAAATGACATTCACTTCTGCTGCCAGAACTTTGCTGACTAAAATCTACAAACAATAAAATACAATTGAAAAGCTAAACAATATTGTGCTCCCAAAATAGTTAATACTACAAAATTCTAGTTGTAAGAAAATTTTAAACTTTTCTGTATAGACACTTAGCCTGTTATATATAGAAAATCCATGAACAATCATTCTATTCTCTATAAAATATCCACCCAAAGTACTTTATGGACCCGGTGTCTCAAGGAGCTGTGATTACCTTCCTACACCTACTGCAAGGGTACAGTTACGCAGTAACTTCTCTCAGCCATAGGGCTCTGTGAAAGACCAATGATTGCCTATTTAGTTGCCTAATCTGTTTTTTTTTTTTGGGTCCGGTCGTGGGGCCTGAACTCTGGGCCTGGGCACTGTCCCTCAGCTCTTCAGCTCAATGCTAGCGCTCTACCACTTGAGCCACAGAACCACATCCGGCTTTTTTCTTTTTGCTTATGTGGTGCTGAGGAATCGAACCCAGGGCCTCAGGCATGCAAGGCAAGCACTTAACCACTGAGCCACCTTCCCAGCCCCCTTAATCTGTTTTGTCACACATAGGCTATTTCTTTTTCTGAGACTGTCAGATACATGGAACAGTAAAGAAAGAAGAGCAATGACAGGAACCAAAGGCTGTATTACCATTAATGGAACTCAAGTCTTTCTACCTTTTCATTTCTGAAGGGATGGCAAACAAGGACTAAAATGTAACATTAACTCACTTATTACAAGTCATGAAGAGCTCTCCATCTATTTGTCAAAAACAAAATGTAACCTAATGTTCTTTATTTATTTCAGAACTAGCGAGGACAGGCTGAGGCAGGAGGGCCATGAATTTGAGGTCAGCCTGGGCGACACAGGGAGACCCTATCTAAATAAGCAAATATGTATACACATGTATAAAAACATAGTCCACAGCACCTTTCTTTTTTTTCTTTGTTTTTTTACTGCTACGGCCTTTCTGTTGCTCTTCCATTATCCTTTCTTCTGCCATTTGAGAACCATCAGCACGACTCAGTGTTGACATCAACCATGCATAAAGGAATTCAGAGAGATACCTTAATGGGTAAAAAGTATTAGTAAGAGTAGATGTCTAAAGAGATACATATACTAGGTAACAATGGGTAGTTTTATCATTTTATTTTTGGTCTAGTGATTGGACATAGGGTCTCATGCATTCTAATTGAAAGCACATGTTCTGCTACACTGTCATCTCCAAGTGGCAGTTTTATAATGCTCTGATGTTTAAAAAATTTACATAAATTGATCATCTGAATATCTTATAACAACTGAGTACTAAAGCAATTAGCTTTACCTTCCTACATTTTACACATTTCAAAAGACTTTTTTGATAATGATAAACATAAATCAAATGAACACCCATGAAACTTTTTAATATCAGGACACATATTAATTTTATTACATAAGTTCTTTGTGTGTTTGTATTACTCACAAAATAAAACAAAGCAAATAAGTTAACAAATTGTAAAAAAACAACAAAAACAAAACCCTATTGGCATTATACAAAACCATTCTAAAAATAGGAATATTCAAGGTTATAATTTACTTGTACTTGCTCAATAAAAAATGCAAATTTGAACATTCTACTAGATAATTTTCAGACATTTTATAAACATCACATTCAGCTAAACCACAAAAGTAGTTTCAATTTAAGAGAAATATGTATTTTTTATAATACAATCAGTAAGAAATAAAATTAAGGACCATTACCATACTGAATGAAAGCTAATAAAGATTTGCAAGAGATTTTATGATCTCTAAATATTTCTAAAATTTCCCATAAAGACATAAGGCACATAAACACATATAAAACAGGACATTTTAAAGCAAAATAAAAACTAGTCAAAAGATATCACTAGAATGAGTAAAATACTATACTGTGAAGCAAAACAAGACAGCTAAGGTAAAAAGCAGTATTTTTTTTTTCTGATAAAAAGCTGCAATGTCATATGGAGACAAAATGCTTGGCACTGAGTTTAAGAAAAGCACTTGTTATTTTCCCCTAGCACACTGCAAAATCTGAAGGTCTGTAATGTGTATCTTCACTCAGTCAAGGATTTTGATAGGCAACTCCTAGTGCTTTTTATATTTGGATCCTCTGTAACCTAGGGGAAGATGAGTGATGACAGGATTCAGGGCTGTCCTCACAAACATCAGATTCTTCAAGCACTTTTATGAAGTGCTTTATTAAAATTAATACTAAATCACATTTAAGGAGAGTGAGAACACTGATAGACTGTATCACTTGTTCTCAAACAGTCATCAACAGGCTGATAGCAGCGCTCCCTGGGAAGTAGAAATGAAACTGACTAGGTCTCATAGTAGATCTACTAACCCAGAGGCTGACAATAGGGAATGTGCCCACTAAATGGTTATAGTGTATGTTAACATTTAAGAACACTGTGTCTGCTGATTTTTAAAGGACAGACACACAATCAGGGATTATATTCATGAACAACAAGATTTTTCTGCAAGCAATCAATTTGTAATTTTGAACCCCAAAAGCAGTTCAGAACTAATATGAAAGTCACAGACTATAGACAAAATTCAAGTTTCTCTACAAACAAGAACCTGCTTATGATGTAGATATATTTGTAATGAAATGTATGTCATTAGTTTGCTGAAATAAAATTCTGGTTCTTGGTGTAAAAAGGCATATAAAAATTATATTTGTTCCAAGGAATGAATAGGAAAAACATCTCTTTAAGCTGTTGCAAGCCACAAAGAAAGAGAACTTGAGGATGCTCCCCAAATAAAAATCAACAGAAGCTTGTAATCCTAGCACTTGTAGAGCTGAGACAGGAAGATCAGGAGGTTAAGGTCAACCAGGGCTATTTAGCAAGACTCTATCTCAAAAGAAGTTAAAAAAAAAAATTCAAGAGTTGTATCTACTGTAAGCTAATAACAAAATGTGTCCCATTAACTTTATAAACACCTCTCAGTAAGGGTCATTTGGTATTATTTAAATAAATGTTACCAAATACCCCAAGTTATTATCTATCATATTACTGCAGTCAATCCTCAAATTTAATTTTCATAACCAGAGTTATCTGGGAAGATCTTTGCAGCTCATGATAAACACAACAGTCTGCTCTGTTAGCCTTTCTCAGAGCAACGACTCCAAAAAAGGTATTTCTAAATTACATTAGTTCAAATAAGAGTTTAAAAGACAAACTGAAAACCTCTAATATACCAAATATTATTGTTTGTGATCGGCAACACATGACATCATTCCCTTCAAATTGCCTCTGTTCTTTGCCAGCTAAGACAATACAATATACCTAAATTCATTAACACTCAATTCTCTTAAATTATTTTCTGTCTATGACAGATTGTCCATGCCTAAAGTATTCCTTCAACGACCCTATTCCTACATTTCCTTATCTCATCTTCCAGTGAACAACTATGAAGAACAACTATGCTAAGGACCATCTCCCAGTGTCTCCAAAGGTATGAAGGCAAAGGTGCAGGGCCACAGTTTAAAGTGCTTATGCAACCAGTGACCACTCCAGTAGATGGTTTCTACTCAGAAGATCTGATTCCAGCTGCTTTTGCTATACAAGTACACCCACCATTTGTTTCCAAAGAGAAAAAGCAAAAGGTCTTCAATTAATACATTTACTTTGGAAACATTACTAGTAATTTTCTCATAAATAGGCAAATAGCTAGAAAAATATATATGATATTACAACATTAAAGATATTCATGTTGGGCTGGGAAGGTGGCTCAGTGGTAGAGCACTTGCCTTGCATGCTCGAGGCTCTGGGTTCTATTCCTCAGCACCACATAAGAAAAAAAAAGCCAGAAGTGGCACTGTGGCTCAAGTGGTAGAGTGCTAGCCTTGAGCTGAAGAGCTGAGGGACAGAGCCCAGGCCCAGAGTTCAGGCCTCACGACCGGACCAAAAAAAAAAGATACTCATGTTGAGCCAGTTCTGATTTTCAACAGTTTTTTTAAATTATACAACAAATGAAGTCAATTACACTTTATTTACAGATGTTCTGTCAGATCTTATTTACTCTACCCATTCACCAAATTGATCTCAAATTGTACTCTTACCAGTATATGTAGTAGTATTCGTGCATGCTATAGAGTTCCAACTCAAAGCCACTTAGGAGATACTGTATCATAATTCGAAGGTTATGGTAAAGTACCCAGGTTCCTAAACAGGCCAAATGTTGCCTTTGGGGTTCCTGTTTCAACAGCATAGTGTGAAGGGCGGCATCAACCTTCTCTGCCTATAAAATCAAATGTTACAGAATTGGCTTTTTTCTTCTTCTAAGTAATAGAGCTTTAGAAGTCTTAGTGGAGCCAAAGCACTGGTGGCTCATGCCTGGAAAACTAGCTACTCACAAGGCTGAGATGTGAGAACTGAGGTCTGAAGCTAGCTTGGGCAGGAAAATCCAGGAGACATCTATTTTCAGTTAACTACCAAAAAGCCAAAGTAATAATACTAAGGGGCAAGATCCTGAGTTCAAGCCCCAGCAATGGCGCACAAAAACAAGGAATGGAAAATTTAAATTTCATCACTCAAGAGACTCCTACTTTCAAATGCATTGTTAGGTTTAGATACAAGTTCTTTTTCACAAAAGCTAACACTTAATCACTCCTTAAAACTAAAAATACATCCATTTCAAAATAGAAGTAGCTCAGACTGTGAGTGGTTATTCAGGGCCTTCAACCCTGTAACATCAGCCTCCTACAAGCCCGAGACAGGAAGATTGCTTGCGTCCACAGGTTTGAAATGAGCCTAGGCAACATAATCAGACCTTCTCAAAACAACCAATCAAAAATTCCTCAAACAAGTGACTTCAGGTTTTTAATTATTAGTTAATATTGTTGCTCACAAACTTAAAATTAGTATTTTATAATATAAACTTGCCCTGAAATAGTTGTACATGTACTTCATAATTTATCCTGATTATCAGCAACTAACTTAAAATGTCTTATTGTTCCATTTCTTCTCACATAAAGTTTTCCTTTGGTATATGAAAATTAAATCTTAAGTGAAAAGTAACCTCATCTCCTTATAGTAAAATGTTACAATACTCAAAATACTGATTTTAAAACTGTTTGAAAAATATCTAGAGCAAGTATGTGAAGTTGTCTTTTTTCTTTTTTGGAAACAGAGTTTTGGTAGCCAAGCTGGCTTTGAACTTGTACTCCTCCTGCTTTAGTCTTACTACTGGAATTACAGGTGCATGCCACAACATCCGGGTTTGAAATGTTTAATTTTAGAAAAGACAACTACTCAGCGCTTACCTCATCTTGCAAGGTAGCAAATTCCTCAAGAATATGACCAAGCTTATCTCTCTGTCGAGCTCTGTTGTGTCCATGGATCTGAATAAGACTACAAAATGGCTGGAATGCACACATAATTTGTTAATTGTCAGAACATTTCCTTATCCTAAAAAGACAATATTCCGAGTTATCAAAATCTAGCTTATGGAAAAAAATGCTGAGAAAAGATAAACCTTATCTATGCATATTTTTAAATAAATGCACAAGAAATTATAAATAACAAGAAAAAGTGGCTGATTTTGAAACTTGCTTTTTCATATGGCAAAAATATCTTCCTTCAATTTTTAGACATCTTCCTGCAATGTCAAAAAAAATTTATTTTAAACCAAGAGCCAATATACAAAGGATATGCTTCTGTGCTGCTTCACATATGCTAGAATGGCCTAAGAATTATATAGCTTGTGTTATATGGCTCATATCTATGAACCCTGATTGAAGTTCTTCTATTCCTACTATCCATACATAGTCTCTTCTCATATTATCTCATTTCACTACTCAGACAGCAGACATGCTTGGTCTTTAAAACTATGAATATTTTTTTGAAGTTTAATTCTGCTTAAATTTGAATACTTTGTTAAACACCTCAAACAATGACTACCTTCCCTATAAGAGGTGTAAGAGAAGTGATGTTTGAACATCTTGAAACTAAAAACTCAAAACCCAAATCTTTCCAAGGGCTGACAAGATGCTCAAAAATTCCTACATTTTGGAGTACTTTAAATTTCAGATATTTGGATTAGTGATGCTTTACTGTGAATGCTTCAAAATCCAGATAAAATTTGAAACACTTTTAGCCCCAAGTATTTCAGACAGAGATACCTAAACCTGTATTTGCATTTCACTCTTCAAATACTGGGAACTTTATAGGACAGTCATATGACCAATGAGGATAAAATGTTAGTAATAAAACTGAAATCTCAAGCTGGGTGCCAGTGGTTCATACTTGTAATCCTAACTACTCAGGAGGCTGAGATCTGAGGATCATGGTTCAAAGCCAGCCCAGGCAGGAAAGTCTGTGGGACTCTTATCTCTAATAAACCACTACAAAACTGGAAGTGGCATTGTGGCTCAAGCGGTAAAGCACTCTCCTTGAGCTGAAGAGGTCAGGAACAGTACCCAAGCCCAGAGTTCAAGCCCCACAACTGACCAAAAAGGAAAAAAGAAAAAACAAAGAAATCTCATCTACTGGATTCCTTTTATTATACCATATACTTCTTTCCTATCTACACATTTATTTAGTAAATGGATTAGGCCTCAAAGAGCTTTCTGGTCAAGTTTTCTAAGAAGAACATCCATATAACTAAGTAAGAAGGACTAAGATATGCAAATAGGAGTGTGCTTCATAGATGGGAGTCAAAACACACAAAGGTGGTACTCAAAGGCCCTAGTGAAAGGTCATCCCAGGCTAATTCTGTATCTAGTAATTCATCAGGAAGGCTACAGGCCATAATGTCATCCATTCAAATGTTGAGACAATTCGTTTTTAATTCAATCACTGAATAAGAAAGTAAATGAAAACATGGATATTGTAGGACTTAGCACCCATAACTTTCAAATATCCAAGTGGTAGTTCTTACCCGAACACAGTGAGTCACGAAAGAGTCAATACAGTCCTTAGCCTGGTGATTATTATATAGGCAGCACCTGTAAGATAATAGTCACACATCATTAAAATCCAAGTATTAGTTTTGACAAATGAGTCAGTGATTACTGTAGATAGTGTTAACAGAGAAGGTAGGAATGGAAGTGGAACTGTGGCTCAATGTGGTTAGTGCTGGAATTTTGCCAAAGAGCCCAGGGTCAATGCATAGGCTCTGAGCTCAAGCCCCACCACCAACAAAAAACAAAACAAAAAACAAAAACAAACAATTTAAACATTCACAGAGAAGGTGGGAAAAGGAAAAAAATGTAACAAAATACACTGAATTAAAAAATGCTAAGAGTAGCAAGCTTAGCTTATAAAGATTTCACTACTATACATGTAAATGTGTGATATTTCTAACTCCTTTAGGTAATAATTGAGCATTTAAAATTGAGTGCAATAAAATCAAACTAGTAAGGAGAAAAAGGAAAAGCTCCATGTATTTTCCACCACCATGGAAGCATGTTCTTAATAGTAACTACACAGAAATTATTATACAGAATCCCAGTTCTCTAAATATGCCTACTCCTATCCAACCACTGACTATACATCTTTCTCATACTCTATCTGCTATCTCAACAAAATGATTCCATTAGCTCAGTTTCCTTAGCTCAGTTTACACTACCATTTCTTGATTAACACCTTCCACAGTAGTTCTCACAGATCTGCTTCCTGGCCCTGAGAACTGCAGAGGATAAATAGGATTAAAAAAAAAATTAGCCAGGCTCTGGTGGCTCATATCTATAATCCTAGCTACTTAGGAGGCTGACACCTGAGGATCACAGTTTGAAGCCAAGCAAGGCAGGAAAGTCCGTGAGACTCTTACCTCCAATTAAGCACCAGAAAACCAAAATGACTTTGTGGTTCAAAATGGTAGAGCACTAGCCTTGAGCGAAAAAACAGGGACAGGACCCAGGCTCTGAGATCAAGCCCCAGGATCGACAAAAATTTTTAATTAACTCTTGTGAAGATCAAGAACATCTGCACTGAAGAAAATGAGGAAAGAGACTTTCTCCTGATACTCTAATATGAGCCAACAATTTATAAATGCTTGTCTGTGCAATGGCAACAGCCTCAAAGATAAAACTAACACTGAAACAGAAAATAATAGTGCACCTGGCAGCCAGGAAGAAAAAAGCAGAACTACAACAAAGAAGTAATTAAATAAGATACACTGGAAAGTGTTGGATGCAGTAGACCACATGTATAATCCTAGCAACTTGTGAGGGAGAGATTGGGAAGATTGTGGTTGGAAAGTTGAATAGCCTGAGCAAAAACTTTGCAAGATTCCATCTGAGCCAATAAAACTTAACTGAATGTGGTGATCTGCTTCTCATTCCAGCTATGCTTAAATAGAAGCGCATGTTCCAAGCCATCCTGGACATGAGAGCTTATTCAAAAATATAAGCAAAGCAAAACAATAATTTTAGGACATGACTCAAGTGATAGAGTTCCTGCTTAGCAAGCTCAAACCTTGAATTCAAAACTACAATACAGCCAAAATAATAATAATAATAATAATAATGCTAAAAGGTTCTTTAAAGGAAGAAAATTACATAAGGAATCTAAAATACAGCAACCTAAAAAACATTCTGGATTTTGGGGAATGATATGTATTATATGATTACATTATTATTATTATTATTGCATGATAATGACTTTAGGGAAGGAGAACTAAAACTATCCCTATTTGCAGATGATATGATCCCATATTTAAGGGATCCCATAGATTGATTAAAAACTTTGGTAAAGTAGCAGGGCATAAAATCAACCTACAAAAATCAGTAGTTTGTAACCTCTCTGTACAGTATTTTCACAGTGAAAAACTTATTTAAAAAAAATAAAGTCACATATGAGGGGAAAAAAATCAGTAGTTTTCTGTAAGCTAACAATGGGAAAATTGGACTGTAAAGAGGGAAGCAACTCCAATTGTTAAAGACTTAAAAAAAAAAAAAAAAACCCTAGGAATTAACCAAGATGTAAAGAACCTCCACAGTGCAAACTATAAAAACTTTGAAGAAGAAAATCAAAGACATCAGTGGAAAAATTTTCCATGCTCCTGGATTGGCAAAATTAATACTGAGAAATGGCAATACTGCCCAAAGCCATCTACAAATTCAATGCAATACCCATCAAAATCACATCATTCTTTAATGAGACAGAGAAAGTGAAAAATTCATATAGAATCACAAAAGGCCCTGAAGCAATCCTGAACAAAAAAAAGTTGTGCTGGAGGCAAAACAATATCAAACTTCAACTCTACTACAGAGTGATAGTAATGAAAACAGGTTGATACTGGCATAAAAACAGACTTAAAAATGAATGGAACAGAAGATGCAGAAATAAACCACAGACTTATAGCCATTTAATATTTGATAAGGGAGCTAAAAAACATGGGCTGGAAGAAAGCCTCTTCAACAAATGGTTTGGGGGGGAGGGAGATAACACATGTAGAAAATGGAAATTGGATCCCTATCTGTCACCATGTACCAGTATCAATTCAAAATGGAGCAAAGACCTCAATGTAAGATGGGGACCATGAAACTATTACAGGAAGAGGTAGGAGAAACATTAGGACTCCTTGGCACAGGGTAAGAACTAAGATACAGAGGTGTAGCAGATCAAAGAAAGACATGATAAACTATATAACATCCAACTGAAAAGTTTCTGTCCTTTGGCAAAGGACAAACTAACAAGCTAAACAGATAGCCTACAGAATGGGAGAAGATTTTTGCCAGCTATACATGAGACAATGGCCTAATGTCCAGAATATACAGAGCTTTAAAAAATTAAACCTCAAAGAATCAACAACCCAATTAATAAATGGACTAATAAGCTATCTTCTCAGAAGTAAAAATGGCAAATAAATACATGATGCAGTGCTCAACATCTATAGCCATAAAGGAAATGAAAATCAAAACAACACTGAAGGGATCTTGTAGACTTTTCTACCTGAGCTGGCCTCAAATCACAAGTCTCTTAATCTCAGCTTCCTCAAAAACTAGGCTTACTGTGTAAGCCGCTGGCAACTCTCTATATGAATGTGGGAGCATGTGCTCATGCTGGAGCTTAAACCCAGGACTTTGCACAAATTAAACATTTGCCCTACCAATGAGCCACATTCCCAGCTAGATACTAATTCACATGCATCAAACTGTCAAAACTAAAGTCTCATAATGTAAAGGTTACACTGGGAAAATGGGAGCCTTTTATAGAATGGTGGCTGGCATAAAAATTGGTTCATTTACTTTGGAAAGAAATTTGGCAAAACTATGTTGAAGTTCCACATGCTGTTATGATTCAGGATTCTAAGAATATATTCTACAGCACCAACTTTTAAAAAAATTATTGTACAGGTAATGTACAGAGGGGTTACAGTTACATGATTCAGTTATAAGGAGTACAATTCTTTTTAAAAAGTATGATCCCCTTCCTCATTCTCTTCCAGTTTTTCCCCTCCCAACTTCCTTTCCCATTTCCAATATAGTGTCTAGTGGGATTCACTGCTGAATTGGTTCACCCTTTGTCCCACCATTTCTGTAGCACAAATTTTAATAGAAATAAATTTGAAACAACTTAAACATCCAACTGCAAAACAGTTGGTAAAATAAACTCCAGGGCTTACTAAATCAAGTAAGTCTAAGTCTGCATGGATTATGTTTAGATATTAAAATCCCAATGAAGACAGAAAAAGCATACTGTAAGTATGTACAAATTGTGATGCAATTTCTGTAAAGTTTAAAAACAGATCTGGGTGGCATACACATAGAATCCCAGCTAGATAGGCTGCAAGATTGAGGGACTAGTTTAAGGATGGATGAGAGCAAAAAAAAACAAAACAGCATCCTCTGAAAACAAAACAAAAGTGGTTGAGTGCCAAGGGCCCTGACTTCAAACTCAGTACTGGCAATAATGATGATGTTGAAGATGATGATGATAAAAAATAGAACACGGTGGGGCTGGGAAGGTGGCTCAGTGGTAGAGCACTTGCCTTGCATGCATTAGACCCTGGGTTCGATTCCTCAGCACCACATAAGCAGAAAAATAAGCAGGAAGTGGCGCTGTGGCTCAAGTGGTAAAGCACTAGCCTTGAGCTGAAGAGCTGAGGGACAGCGCCCAGGTCCAGAGTTCAGGCCCCAAGACTAGACACCCCCCCCCCAAAAAAAATAGAACATTGATATACATATTTGGTGATAATGTACAAACTTTCATAGGAGTGATGCAGATGAGCTACAATGTCAAGGTTACTTCTAGGAGCAATGTGAGAGGAAAGAATGGAATAGGAAGATGATTTGGAACTAAGTCAGCAATTCTCAAAATACAGCCTGAATTTCCTTGGTGGTAGGGTGAATTGAGAAACTTTCTGAGGATAAAGTCAAAATACAATTAAGATCCTATCTGTCTCCCAAATCTCTCACAAATACACAGTGCATATTTCCCAAAGGTCTAGGCATGTGACATCACAGCAGATGTCAAGCCATATTGTCAAGTTCTTTTATCCCTGGCTAGGGCAACTCTTGAGGTTTGTAACCTACACTGTCTGCACAGTCCCCTATAAGCTTCCTACAAGACTAAATAAATCAGTTACTTTCTGTGAACTCTATACTACTTGGTTTTCATTCCTTCTTTTGTCCCTCTTGCCTACAATTACTGTCTTTTCCTGGTCATACTTCCTAAAGCACATTGATGTGAACTTGCTCTTAGAGTCTGTTTCCAGAAAAACCCATCAAAGACAGTACTAGAGTTTTACATAACATGTGCCATGATTTATGCAACCAATTGATAGTAAGAATGTTTATATGCTAATTATTCTTAAAATATCCCTATGTTCATGTCTTTACACATGCTGGTTTATTTCACTAAGAAGTAGAAATTCAGTCTTCCCTTTCCTCTGGAAAAGCTCTACTTACTTCTCACAATGCTAACTTTGTACATTCTTTGTACATGCTATCTCTTATGATGTGTTTTAGATCAGTGATTCTCAGAGCATAATTTCTATGGGGACGTGATCCTAAACAATTTTTATACATTTGTTATACAGAAGTAAAGAGAAACTGGGTTGAAAAAACACACTATAAAATTAATTTTTATGTATATAAAATGTTTTATAGCCGGGCACTTGTGCCTCACACCTATAATCCTAGCTACTCAGGAGGCTGAGATCTGAGGATCAAGGTTTAAAGCCAGCCTGGGCAGGAATGTCTGTGAGACTCTCATCTCCAATTAATCACTCAGAAAACTGGAAGTGGTGCTGTGGCTCAAGTTGTAGAGTACTGGTCTTGAGGGCTCAGGACACTGCGCAGGCCCAGAGTTCAAGTCCCACGACTGACCAAAAAAAAAAAAAAGTTTTATAATACTTACTTAGGGGAAAGCACCGGAGGACTGACAAAAGACCGAAGAGCATCTTTCACCATGTCTTGCATGAGATGAGTTCCAAAGACCTTTTTGTTATCCACTAGAAAAGTAGTCTTAAAACAAATGTTATATGTATTAGTAATAATGCTGCCAAAATACAGTGGTCATTACTGAGACATACCACCTGGAAACATTACAGAATGTCAAAATGATTAAGACAGTGGTGAGTGGGTATTTTTCCTCTCTTCCTAACATTAGGAAGAAAATATTTCATCTTTCACCATATTAAGATAATAGCTGTAAGTTTTTTTTAAATATGCCATCTACCAGGTTATGGAAGTCCTTTTATTTGTATGTTTAAAAATAATAAACGGATACTTAATTCTCTAGATGCTTTTTCTTAAATCTACTGAAACTTCATTGCATGGTTCAAAATTCCAGCTTACATTCCTAGGATAAACCTCATTTGGTCATAAACTCCACTTAGTCCATTTTATGTTTTTATACAATGCTAGGTTTCATTTGCTATTATTTTTCTGAAGATTTTTGTCTGTGTTGGTCTAAAAGTTTCTAATGTTTGTGATGTCAAGTTTGGTTCTTATATCCAGTTAATTTTCTGATTAGAAGGTAGTTCATTATGATTTAAATTTACAAATGTATATATGGTTGTCCAAACTACTTTGGTAAATTTTGGCAGGTTAGTCGGTTAAGAAATAGATCCATTTTATCTAAGAATTTATAGACATAAGAGCTATGTATAGTATTTCCTGGGGCTGGGAAGGTGGCTTAGTGGTAGAGCGCTTGCCTTGCATGCCTGAGGCCCTGGGTTCGATTCCTCAGCACCACATAAGCAAAAAGAAAAAAGCCAGAAGTGGCACTGTGGCTCAAGTGGTAGAGCGCTAGCCTTGAGCTGAAGAGCTGAGGGACAGCACCCAGGCCCAGAGTTCAGGCCCCATGACCGAACCAAAAAAAAAAAAAGAGCTATGTATAGTATTTCTATATTGTTCTTTTATACACAAGCTCAGTAGGAGTATCACATTTGGGGATAAGGGACTGTATCCAGGGTCCAGTATTTGCTAGATAAAGGGTCTATTTCAGTCATGTTCTCAGCCCACTTCTTTTATTCTTGATATTAATAATTTGCATTTTTTATCCTGTCTAGAAGTCTTAGAAGTTCATAACTGATATATTCAACCCTGGTGATCAATGGAGTTGACAGATGTTGCAGCCAAATAACTCACATCCAAATAACTGATATTTTCAAAGAACCAGCTTTTGGGTATGCAGGTTTTAACCTACTTTTTTCTTTCTTATTTTACTAATTTCAGCTCTTCGTTATTTTCTTTCTTTCTGCTTGCTTAATTTGTTCCTTTTTCTCATCTCTTAAGGTGGAAGCTTAAGTTACTAATGTAAAATGTTTCTCTTTCTCTATGTGATCATTTAATGTTACAAATTTTGAGTTAAGAACTACTACATAGCTTGGATACTCCATCTCCAAATAACCAGCAAAAAGTCAGGCTGGAGGCATGCCTTAGTACCCTGGTAGATCTACAGTCAAGCAAGCAAGCCTGATCAAATGTGAAGCCCTGAGTTCACCTAAGAAACTAACTCAAGAATTGCTTTAGTTTTGTCTTACCGAATTTGTATATTTTCACTGTTATTCAATTCAAAATGTTTTCTTTTCCCCCAAGCTGGTCTCAATCTCATGATCCTCCTACCTCATCCTCCTTGTTGATTACTAGCAAGCACCAACATGGCTAGCCTATTTTTTTTTGTTGTTGTTGTTAATGCTAGTAGTGGATCTTGAACTCAAGGCATCACCCAATTGCTTAGCTTTTTTTATTTCCTGGTCCTGGACTTGAACTAAGGCCTGGGAGCTATCCTTGAGCTTTTATGCTCAAGACTAGTGCTCTACCACTTTGAACCACAGTGTCATTTTTGGCTTTGAGATAAATTTTAGATAATTGGAAATAAGAGTTTCATGAATTTTCCTGCCAGGGCTGTTTTGAACCATGATCTTCAGATCTCAGCCTTCTGAGCAGCTAGGATTACAGATATGAGCCACCGATGCCTGGCTGCTTAGCTTTTTTATTCATGGTGTGGTGCTTTACTACTTGAGTCACATCTGGCCTTTGGGCTGGGTAGTTGGGGATAAAAGTCTCACGATTTTCCTGCCTATTCTGCCTATGGGCCACAATCATCTCAGCCTCATGAGTAGCTAGAATTATAGATGTAAACGGTCTTCCTCTTCACTAGGCACGGTGGTGTACCTGTCAATTTAGCTATGGTAGAAATTATAAATAAGATTGTGGTTCAAGTCCATCTGAGGCAAAAAGATCCTATTTTTTAAAAAATTGACAAGAGCAAAAAAGGTTGTGAGTTTAACCAAGGGTGCCTATGAAGCATAAGAACTTGAGGTCAAACCCCAAAATCATTAAAAAACAAAAACAAAAAACAAGTGCAGAACATCTTTTAAAAGCATCTGCCTTTTGCTCATCAATCAATAAAATAATATCAATTGTCAGACATCAATGGCTTGGGCCTATAATCTTAGCTACAAAGGAGGCTGAGATCTAAGGATTGTAATTTAAACCAGCCTAGGCAGTAAAGTCCATGACACTTTTTTTTTTTGGTCAGTCGTGGGGCTTGAACTCTGGGCCTGGGCGCTAGTGGTCCCCCAGCTCTTTAGCTCAAGGCAAGCACTCTATCACTTGAGCCACAGAGCCACTTCTGTTTTTCTGGTGGTTTATTGGAGACAAGAGTTTCACAGACTTTCCTGCCTGGGCTGGCTTTGAACCTCAATCCTCAGACCTCAGCCTCTTGAGTAGCTAGTAACTAGGATTACAGGCATGAGCCACCACCAGCGCTTGGCCCCAAGACACTCTTATCTCCACCTAACAACCAAAACAAAAACAGGAAGTAAAGCAGTGACTCAAGTGGTACAGCACTAGCCTTGATTTAAAAAGCTCAAGGACAGCTCCCACAACCCAAGTTTAAGCCCTAGGACCAGCAAAAAAACAAAACAAAAAAAAACTGACAATACAATATAATTTACTGTTTTAAGTATTTTGATACTAAAGTAGAACTTACTTGTAACAGAGACCTTGAAAGAACACATGGTGACTGTTCACTAAACTCACAGAAAAAATCCTGATACATGAAAAAAAAAAAGTCATTTGAATGAAAGGTAGACATGTTTTCATATGAGTCTAATTTTTGAAAATGACATAGTATAGAAAATATGGCAAGTAGTGAAAGTTACTTCTACAGCAATTGCCTATAACAAATAGACAATAACTAATTTTAGAGCCTACATTTTAAAAAATACTGCTCAATAACAGGACACAATGCATTATGAAAACAGTAATAGCAAAACTTCAGTTTCTATTTCAGAAAACTAAATCTTGAGTAACCATGTCAATTCCAATAGAATCATGTTATATTCACTACTGTATTACTGACTATTGTCAGAAACTATCTTTGGGTGAAGACAAAAGGATATAGGTTTGCATAAGGAAAAAGATACTTTGTCTCAACTTTACTAAGACTTTTAGCTCTGATCCTCTTTGAGAATTCCTTCCTTCAGTGACTAGCAACAGAGGCACCAAGGCAGAAACATCAAGATCTTGTTGAGCTCCTTTGCCAACCCGATATTTAATTCGTCACCAATATTTTACCCATTTAGCTACCTCACATTATCAATCTCCTATTATTTTATTCCAAGTTACCATTATTTCCTCATTGGAGTATACTAACAGTTTCTTAATTTGTTTTCTGTGTTTACTCTGATTGCTTTCAATCTTTTCCCTACAACGCAGCCATTGTATCTTTCCAAACTCAAGGATTTGTCTGTCTGCTTGGGCTGGCAAATGTGAGATCCTTAGTTTTCAGTCTCCAGAAAAAGCATGAGCCACTGGTGCCCAGCTCATCACAATTCTTACACTAGTACAAAGCTAAAAACCATGTCTTTCTCAACTTGAAATCTAAACTGAGAATTTACAATCCAGAAGTGATTATGAATTTTAATTCAAAGGTCTTCTGCTGGTCTGTAACTAGTAATTACAATTAGTAGTTCAATTATATTACTACCTGGTATCTAATGAAATATATCCAAAAACTACAGATAAAGCCTCAGTTACCTACTGGTTAGAACAAAGGTCAATTCCCTAGATTCCTAGGATGGGCCATAATCTCAGATCCCCACATGAATTGGTGAAAATGACTGGCGCAATATCATCTTTTTGTACCACGAGCTTATCAAGACCCAAGTCAGCCCTGCTCCTTGTTTTATTACCAACAACAATAACAATTTAACTACCAAGAATAGAACAGAAATGTCATTAAAACAATAGCATATTGTTTTAAATCGTATATTTAAATACTTAATATTTTATATTGTTTTAAATAGAAATTGCTTTAAAACAATAGTATATTAAAAGCATATCACCTTATAGTCTATAAAATAATAAAATAGGTTGCTTATACTTTAAGACCTTACAATCTGAAAAACACAAATACATATCCATATAACTGGGATCAGAAAAGCAGATACAAAAGCATGAGTAAAATCTCTATTCTGATTCCAGATATGAGATATCAAATATGGTTATATACTGTCTTAGTTTGCTTAGCTAGAAAATGAACTGCAAAATAAATTATTTTATGGCTATCATCCTTTTTACTTTAAAATTCTATTTTTCTAATGAGTAAAAGCAAGCACAACTCAAAGTAACAGAGGCATTATCAATAAGAATTTCTCTAAGGAACAAAAGCTGAAGTTGGTCTTGAATGACAAAGAATGAAAGACAAAGTCATCACAAAAAAAAATATAAGCAAAGGTACCAATCTTACATCCCAGAGACTGAGCTAATGTAAGAAATATAAACTAGATACTTGTTATCTCAACGAACACAGATACAATGGCAACTGCAACCAAAAGAGGCTTCAGAAACACAATGACATGGGGATATAAATACATACATACATGCGCGCGCACACACACACACACATATACACACACACATCCACACACAGAGATTTTCTCTCATTCATACAAAAGTTCTTGAAGACAAAACAGAGTTCAAATCTTATTCTTAAAATCCAAATGAACCACCCAATCTCTAAACTCTAGCTTCTTAAAAAATATATGTATGTATAAGCTGGGCACCGGTGGCACACGCCTGTAATCCTAACTACTCAGGAAGCTGAGATCTAAGGATCACGGTTCAAAGCTTGCCCAGGCAGGAAAGTCTGTGAGATTCTTATCTCCAATTAACCACTAGAAAAGCCAAAGTGGTGCTGTGGCTCAAGAGGTAAAGCAGCTTGCCTTGAGCTGAAGAGCTGAGGACGGTGCCCAGGCCCAGATTTCAAGCTACAAAACCGACCAAAAAAAAAAAAAATTGTATGGTATTTTCTAGCTATTAGAAAAAAAGATGCAGTAGGATTTATTCTTGGGCTGGCCAATCTCTAAGAAATGATAAATCATTCTGCAATCAAACCAAAGATATATTTAACCATAGATTTATACCTACCAGGATACAATGTAAATTTGTTAAGTTCACAACCTCACATACAGTTTTTATTCTATCTATTAGTCTTGCAAAATAGTTAACCATTTCTTCTCTTTTAATTATTTTTGCGTATCGAGGGAAGGTGGGTGGAAGTAGCCTCTGGTTCACAAGGGGCTCAAAACCCATCATAATTGGATGATCTAAACAAAAAAAAGAAAAAGGTAAGATTTTTAAAGTTTCTCTAAATTTTAAACTGCAAATGCTATTAAATATGAAGTGAAAAATACCAGTTTCAAAGGCCTCAATTCCAATCTCAGTCCTAAAAACCAATTTTCACTTTATAATTTATATATACACTCATATGCACATATATAGACACATGCACACACACATATTTTTAAAAAATGAGATGAACAGATTTACTAACTTCCAAATAGTATTTTCTACTTACATAATGGTAATTGTGGAGATGGGAGGGGGAGTCTACCTAAAAATGAACTCCAAGCCAAGAATGTGGTAATACAGGACAGATAAAATCTCAAGTGGAAATGCTACGTGAAACCATAAGAATTTAAGAAAGGTAAAATGGGAACATACTACTGTAGCCCTCTTTCCTCTCAATTACCAAATAATGGAATCAATTCAAATGTAACTACATAATGACCCAGAATAACACAGAATATCAGCCCCTAGAGAAGTCTTGCAAGGATATGGTACTGAGAGATAATTATAGAAATCCATGTTTCAAAGACAATATTACCATAGATCCAAGGGTGAACAACCTTTCTCCCTGTTTCTGTTCCCTCCCCACCCTACCAGGGTAAGCCTTTTTGCTTATAGTTGGTGCTCTACTAGTCAAGCCATGCCTCCAGTTCTAGCTTTTTGGTGGTTACTTACAGATAAGAAGTTTCGAGGATTTGTCTGTCTGCCTGGGCTGGCAAATTTCAGATCCTCAGATCTCAGCCTCCTTAGTAGCTTATAAATAGATTAGAAGCATGAGCCACTGGTGCCCCCCTCATCACAAGTCTTACATTAGTACAAAGCTACAAGCCATGTCTTTTTCAACTTGAAATCTAAACTGAGAATGTACAGCACAGAAGAAGTGATTATGAATTTTAATTCAAAGTTCTGCTGGTCTGCAAACAGAGAACAAGTTGGTTGTCACTGGCTTTGCCTACCCATTATGTGATGATAGCTTAGTCACTGTCTTTTCTAGTCTCTAAAATTTTGCTCTAATCTCCTTTACCTAGCCTTTTCCTCTACATCAGTTATGTAATCTTAAAAAAATGACTTCATTGTATTGAGTTTCAAAAAATAAGCGCAGCTGTTTAATTTTCCAACATTACTTTTTTCTAATTCTTCCTTAATGGTTGCCACCTTTATCACAAACATCTACTTCAATTACACACTTTTCATTTTTCAAAAAAATGATTGGCTGGGGCTGGGAAGGTAGCTTAGAGGTACAGTGCTTGCCTTGCATGCATGAGGCCCTGGGTTTGATTCCTCAACACCACATAAGCAGAAAAAGGCAGAAGTGGCGCTATGGGTCAAGTAGAGTACTAGCCTTGAGCTGAAGAGCTTAGGGACAGCGCCCAGGCCCAAAGTTCAAGCCCCACGACCAAAAAAAAAAAAAAAAAAAAAAAAAAGATAGGTTATCTTAACATATCAGACTTGAAAATATACACCAAAACATCTGTCACTATGAGGCTATAAATTTAAATTTTTAATTTCCACTAGCAACAGCTAAAGAAGCTCAAAATCTATAAACTAAACCAAATAGGTAATTATGATAGAACATAGGACAAGTAAGACCTGGGAAATCCTAGTAGATTTTTGTGTTTTGTTTCTTTTGACATAGAATCTCACTAGGTAGCTCCCAGGAATTCAAAATCTTCCTGCCACTTTAGTGAGAAGATTTATGGCATAAGCAGGCATCACCACATAAAGCTGTGAAGCTCCAATGTCTTACTTGGAAAGATGATGTGAATGTTAAAGGACTGACTAAAAATTTAAAAGACATATTAAAAGTAAAGACAGCCAGGTCCCAGTGGCTCATGCCTATAATCCTAACTACTCAGAAGGCTGAGATCTGAGGATCGTAGTTCAAAGCCAGACTCTTATCTCCAATTAGCCACCAGAAAATTGGAAGTGGTGCTGTGGCCCAAGTGGTAGAGCCCTACCCTTGAGCTGAAGGACGGGGGTTGGGGGGGGGGGGGGGGAGAAAGATTGGGATTGGGGGGGGAGGGGGGGGGGGGGGAGAAAGATTGGGATTGGGGGGGGAGGGGGGAGGCTGGGAAGGGAGGTGAAGGGTAAAAAAGGAGGAGGCTGCAATGCTTGGTAAGAAATGTATGCATTATCCTGCCCATGTAATTGTAACCCCTCTGTACAGTATGTTCACAAATAAAATTAAATTAAATTTAAAAAAAAAAAAAAAAAAAAAAAAAAAAGAGCTGAAGGACAGCGCCCAGGCCCAGGGTTCAAGCCCCATGACCAAAAAAAAAGACAGATTACAGAAAGGCAAAGAGCAATTATCTGCTTCTATGTATTTTTTCCCTTGCTTGTTCAACAAAGATATAACCAAAATTTCTGAATCCAGCAATCACATCCATCCTTTCAATTTCAGTATGTACTAAATATGAAAACGACTCCAAAATCAGTTCTTACATCAATTTTCCACAGCCAAATATTTACTAGTGGCCTGCTGTAAACCATCATGTTAAAACAAAATTCCCACTCAGTTCTAAACTGCCCTCCTATCTCATATCTATCTGTTCTCCTACCTCTTTATCTGCATAAAAAGATTAACATTCATCGAATAAATCCACCAGTAAGTAATTTCTGGATCTAGTTTAATTCTTCCTATTCTCTCCCTCAACACCATTAAGTCCTACACCATGCATATCTTTTTAATGAGCAGCTTTTAACCAATGCTTTCATGTTCTCCACAACCATTTTGTCAGTAGTTGAAGTTATACTACGGTGAAGGTAATCTCAGAGGAAAATAATCTGTATTGCTGTTTTTTCCTTATTCTTCTCAAAATATAAATTAGAATGTCATTAAAAACTTTTTTAAAAAAAATTCTGGGCTGTCCTTTAGCTTTTGCACTCAAGGCTGGTGCTCTACCTTTGACCTATAGTTCCACTTCTAGCTTTTTAGTGGTTAATTGGAGATAAAGTGTCATAGACTTTCTGGCCCAGGTTGACTTTAAATCTTGATCCTCAGATTTGGAATACCTAGAATTACAGGGTGAGCTGTAGAATAATCCTGAGTAGCAAGGATTACAAGCATGAGCCACTGGCACACAGTTTTATCTAGGTTTTTCTTTTTTTGGGGGGGGTGGGGGGCAGCAGTGGGGCCTGAACTCTGGGCCTGGGCACTGTCCCTCAGCTCTTCAGCTCAAGGGTAGCCCTCTACCACTTGATCCACAGCGCCACTTCCGGCCTTTTTTCTTTTTGCTTATGTGGTGCTGAGGAATTGAACCCAGGGCCTCAGGCATGCAAGGCAAGCCCTCTACCACTGAGCCACCTTCCCAGCCCCTTATCTAGGTTTTTAATCTACCTACTTAACTTTTTTCTTTTAATTGCTAGGAAATAATTGAAAGTAAACTAGGCTTAAAAGTCTTCAAAAAGCCAGGCGCTGATGGCTCATGCCTATAATCCTAGCTACTCAAGAGGCTGAGATCTGAGGATCGCAGTTCAAAGCCAGCCCGGCAGGAAAGTCCATGAAACTCTTATCTCCAATAAACCACCAGAAAACCGGAAGTGGCACTGTAGCTCAAGTAGTAGAGCGCTAGCCTTGAGCTGAAGAGCTGAGTGAGGGACAGCGCTCAGGCCCAGAGTTCAAGGCCCACGACTGACAAAAAAAAAAAAAAAAAAGTCTTAGAAAAATAATAAGATTCTCTAAATTTATAATTTCACTTGTTTAGGAATAAACAAGTTACCTTAGGAATAAGGTAACTTTTTATCTGAAGTTTATTCAAGTTAATTTTACAAAACCAATTTTTCTGAGGCTTATCAGTATACAAGCAGAAAAATATATGCACAGGGAAATTTTTAAGACTGTGTTGAACCACAACAAACTATAAGATATAGCTATTAATGAGCCTTTGAAAATTATTCTCTTCAGATAATCAGTGGGGCTGACTGCAGACACAGAAAAGGGCAGCCAACTAGGACTCTGCAGCTGTCAGATTTGAGGGCCCAACTTCTAAATCTGCAAGTACATTTTCCTTCCTTGATTCTCCACATTATTGGAATTGGTGGGAGGGAGTCAGGTGAACAGTCCAACAGTCCAAGTAGAGAGGCAAGGTCCTTTCTCTGCTGCCTCCAGGAACCTGAGTTAGGAACCTGGATCTGCCCTCTTAGCTCTGGAAGCTTAGGCTGCCTGAAAAGCAGAACAGAGACTGCCTGCCTGCTCTTTGGCTGCATAAAGGTGATGCTGGCAGCCAGGCACACTACAGAAGGCCTCAGCACTGGGAAATGATTGATTCCTTCTCTCCTCCCCAGGTTTGTGACCCATTTATTTATTTATTTATTTATTTATTTATTTATTTATTATCTATTTATTTGCCAGTCCTGGGGTTTGAACTCAGAGCCTTGGCATTGTCCCTGAGCTTCTTTTGCTCAAGGCTAGCACGCTACCACTTGAGCCACAATGCCAGTTTTTTCTGTTTATGTGGTACTGAAGAATCAAACCTAAGGTTTCACGCACGCCAGGCAAGCGCTCTACTTCTAAGCTACACTCCCAGGCCTCTCATCCTTTTCTTAATGGATGTTTTTAATTAGTATGCTAACATTTTACATCCCCAACTTTAATTTTCTGAATAATTATTTCTAGTAACCCTGAAATTCTCTTCCCATGTCAGATATGTGACTGATCTTGCCTTTGCCTCATAATAAAATGTAAATAAAGGCTGCTGAGAACTTAAGAAAAAAAAAAGAAATATCAAAATCTGTAAAATGTGGCATACTTCTGCAATGCAAATTTAATATCCTTTGACATAAACCAACAAATTATTATGCTGTAGTCACAGTAGTTTTCATAAAAGTAGCCTGTACTAGATTACAAAGTGAGAGTTGTGATTTTTATCTCCCTCTTTAACATAAACTGCAGGCTGCAAGACATACAATCCTTTCTTTTCTTTTTAAATGTTCCATGGTTATAAAATACCAACTTGTCATTCAACCTCATAAAGATTTTTTCCCCCTCTGGGGGAAAAAAAGAAATGCTCACGAATAATACAAATGCTGTACAATTACTAGAGAATACTGATTTCCTAACCCATATTACCTATAGATTGGTCCGCTACCTAACTCTTGGAAGAGAAGGACTCAAAATCATGTGGGAAGTCAAACACAAAAATAATTACAATGCAATGTTATGACAGAGCCACATATAAGTTCAATAAGAACAGAAAAGCAATGTCTAGGCCTAATTAGTAGAGTCAGGATTGAATGTAATTTAGGTAATTTCTCAAAGGAATAGGAAGGTGAGATGATTCAAAAAGAAATTATTGCTAACATCAAAACATGAATACAAGACAAGAGTATATACATACATTCCAAATAAGATATAGAATATGGCCAAGTTTTAGAATCCTACTTTCTACCAAGAACGAATTTACAAAGTTGTTCCAAATAAACTTAACAAAGAGGTTCTAAAAACATTCCAGGGTTCAGAGTAACTGAGGTTAGGTAAAATTTCATAACAAACCTAATAATTTAGAGTGAGGAACAAAAAAGGAATGGAACAAAATGGACAATTACCTCCTTTTGTAGTGTCATTCTGGGCTTGGATGCCATGATGTAATGAATTATGAATGGCAGACAGAAGATCTGCTGCTTGAACCATCAATTTCTGAGCTTCTGTAACAGCACTGGTCTAGCAAAAAAATCACCATAAACATTTTTACATATTCTTCAGTGAAAGATACATTAAATAGGAAAATCCTATAAACAGTAATGAAATTAAATGCTTACTGCAATGATACTGGTTTTCACAAATTATTCACCTAATGTAGGATGCCCAGATCCTAATAAAATAAAAAAGCTTTATCTCAAATCTATGTCTTACAGGATTGAAAAAACAAACAAACAAACAGGATCCAGCCAAATGCAGGTGATCCATTCCTATAATTCTAGCTACTCAGGAGCTGGGATCATGGTTTCCAGCCAACCTGGGCAGGAAAGTCCATGAAATCCTTATCTACAATTAACTACCTCCCCCTCCTACCCACCCCCCAAAAAAGCTGCAGTGGAGCTTTAGCTCAGATGGTAGAGCACTAGCCTTGAACAAAGAAGCTCAGGAACAGCACCCAGGCCCTGAGTTCAAGTGACAGGTCTAAGCCCCAGGAGGAGCACCAAAAAACCAAAACCAAAACAAACAAAAAATAGGATCACAGCTACTCACAGCTACCTGAGCAAAGTTAGCAGAAGATCCTATTTGAAAAAGAGGGGCAAGAACAGAGAAGGGGCTCACGCTATAAAGTGCTTTTTCTAGCAAGCAGTAGGCTCTGAGTTCAATCTCTGGTATTACCAAGAAAGAAAAAAAGAAAAAAAAAAAATTCTGGCTTATTGTACTAGTGTTACTTTTTAAAATAAAAGCCAGAGATGCAACCAAGGGAAAATTTGCCACAAAACTAAGTCATTGGGGTGGAAGAGTCAAGAAAAGAAAAGACAGACATGTAGAAGTTAGAAATGCCTGGTTTTCCACATATAAACTATTGACTTATATTAATGCAAACATAACAAAAGAAATACATTCACCATCTAGAGCTTGTTTTTTGTTCTATGCAAACCAACATTTACCTAAAGGGAAAAAAACCTATATAAAATTCTCATTTTTTACTTTCTTCCTTACAATACGAAATGTAACAAGCCACAAAGTGATTTATATCAACAACAGACACACTATATTACGTGTTAGAATGTAAAATTCAAGTGACCTCCAAAGCATATCATTAGAGTTACTCCAGCATAAATATTCCAAATGTTGGGTAATATATACTTGGAGGAATACTTTATTAGAAAAGTCTCAGAAGTGCTTCAATACAAAGTTCCAACCAAAAATCACTGACAGATAAATTATAGTAAATGTTCTTACCTCTTTCTTAGTAAATGCTATAAGCACTGTTAGTAACACCCGAGTAAATTTCACTCTGCTGAAGACAGCTAAACATTGCTGGTGCTAAAAAAAAAAAAAGCAAGAGAGAATTAAAAGCTAAAACAGGCAAAGCCTGTCAAAGTCATCTCATTTTAAAATATTTTATTTTCTAAATCTCAATGTTAATGACTTACAACAGAATACTCCTTCAATGAGATTTTTAAATGACTGAAAAATGAGTTAAAGAAAATATAATAAAACAAAGCCTATTCTTTTGAAACAAAAATGTTGCTATGTCGGGGCTGGGAAGGTGGCTCAGTGGTAGAGCGCTTGCCTTGCATGCATGAGGCCCTGGGTTCCATTCCCCAGCACCACATAAGCAAAAAGAAAAAAAGCCAGAAGTGGCGCTGTGGCTCAAGTGGTAGAGCACTAGCCTTGAGTTGAAGAGCTGAAGGACAGCGCCCAGGCCCAGAGTTCAAGCCCCAGGACCGGACCCCTCCCCCCAAAAAAACAAAAAACTGTTGCTATATCCTATGAGGTTGACTTTTTTCTCCAAAGTCAAACATTACATTTTCATATCAAAAGAGGATTTAATTAGCAATTCTAAAAGGATTGCTTAAAAAATTCTATAAGCACAATAAAAAAGTTAGGATCTCCATAAACAGGTTTTTATTTTATTTTTTTTTGTTGGTTATAGGACTTGAACTGGGAGCCTGGGCACTATCCCTGAGTTTTTGCTCAAGGCAAGCCCTCTAACACTTAGAGTCACAGCTATACTTCCTGTTTTCTGGTGGTTAATTGAAGATAAAGTCTCACAGACTTTCCTGCTTGGGCTGGCTTTGAACTGTGATCCACGGATCTGTCTCCTGAGTAGCTAGGATTACAGGCATGAGCCACCAGCACCTGGCAAGGAAGTTCTTGAGATTTACCAAGTTTCAAGTCATCATCTGTAAAGAATAATTTTTTCATGCCTACCTCAAAGAAATACTGAAGAATTCTAAAATCATGTATTTGAAAGAGCTGTATTATTATTCTATAAAAAGACATACAAGGGAAATAAAATCCCTTGCAATGTCCAAGTTGTAAGAAATACCTTAAAAAGGGCTTCCATAAATTATAACGCAGTTCATAAAACTACAACACTAAGAGGTAGACTTCTCAGATATTATCTACCAGAAAATAAGTTCAATTACTTCTAGTTCAACTTCTGGATCTCTTTCTTCTCCTTGGCGACTTCGAGTACTCTAAAATTTAAAAAAAGGTATATTAAAACAAATATAATTCAAAGAAGGATTAGATTATAAACATACAAGGAAGGAAGCACTAATTTATTGAGTATACACAAAATTCTATTAGGAAAAATAATTGGGAGGGGAAAAAATGGTGTGTGCACTTTGTTCCTCAAAGTGGCAGAGCACTAACTTTGGGCACAAAAGCTCTGAGAAAGCACCCAAGCCCCAAGAGTTAATGCACAAGGACTGACACAACTTAGGGACAGAAAAACAAAACACAAAGACATTAATTTAACACAAATTCCTTTGATAGTCCTCAAAGTCACCATAAAAAAGACAGTTCATAGAAAAGAAACAAATGTCTCTACTTGGACAAAAGGTCCAAGGCATTACCACAAGATAATCTGGCAGCAGATGTGGGTTCTAATCCTCAGTATGTACATACATTACCGTAAGTAAGCTTCACTTAAGTTCTCTGAGTTATCTATATTAGTTATTTGTAAGTGAAATTAATTTGACATTTAGAAGCATACTAAACCCTAAACCAAAGATAGAGAAACAAACCTTTACTCTTCTTTGCATATCATCCTCCACATCTTTTAGCATGCCTACAACAATGAGAAACAGTAAGTTTACAAAAGAAGCAAACCAAAAGTTAGAACTGAGACAGGTGCTGGTGGCTCACACCTTTGATGCTAGACTTAGGTGGTTGAGATCTGAGGATTGCAATTTGAAACCAGCTAGGATAAGAAAGTCTGTAGAGACTCTGATCTCCAATTAACTACCCAAAAAAGGGGGTAAATGAAGCTGTAGCTCAAGTGGTAGCATTCTAGCACTAAGCAACAAAGCTCAAGGAAAGCAGCAAAGCCCTGAGTTCAAGCCCAAGGACAGGCCCATGCACACACGCACATGTACACACACACACACCAAGCTAACACACATGCATGTACACACACACACACACACACACCCCAAGCTAAAACTGAATTATCACTATAAATAGTCCTACCTGTAACTCGAAGATCTGTCACATTGTTAGCCATTTTAAATCCATACGTCATTGACTGAAAATCTTCCTATACAAAATAGGAATTTTTAGTCAATTGTACCAAAATCTGTATATTTCTTACAAAATTGTTAGGTAATAGGAAAGCAGACATGGAAGGCATTTAAAGTATCTAAACATTGCTATCATACCTCCAAGCTTTTCTTATAGGAATACACTTAAAACACCATATCATAATGCTGTCTCTGCCCTGTCAGCTGCTTTAGGTAATTTAACTATATCTACATTTAATTGGTTGAGCTGAAAAAAGGTTAATGTTTATGAAACATATTACAGAACAGTTACTTCACACAAAATATTCTCATTTACAGGTGAAGAGTTTGATGATAAGAGTTGTAAGAATTACATAACATTTCTTTAAAAAACTATTAAATTACTACTTACACCATTAGGCTACAAAAGTTAAGCCTTTGCAAATATACTTATGCAAAGTGGTGGCAAAACCACTTTTTATAGCCTGACCACATAAAGAAAAAAAAAATGATCCATACCTGGATCCCAGACATAAAAACATTTCTTAAATTATTTCACTAATGAGTCACAACCAAGCTATGGGATTTGCTGAATTCACTTTCAAGAAAATAAATATCATTTGGCTGATTTAACAAGCTATAAACTCTATTAAAGGCATTTTTCTGCCATGTTATAATTTCTATAAAAATGTAGACCAAAACCTACTATAATGTAATAAGTAATTAGAGTAGTCAGACCTATAATAACAAAATTTCTGGACTGTAACAAAAAAAAAGTGAGCATCAAATTCATGTCATATACCAAATTTTACAGACAAAGGAAATGAATGAAATAGCCCAACATGTCCATGTGCCTGTTCTCACAGAATTCAGTGTTACTGTATGAATCATATGCCTAGTCTTTGAAAGATCTCAAATTGTTACAAAGCTATAAGCTTTTCCTTTAGGTAAAGTTCATACCTTATCTCTACTTGAATCTCAGAAAGGATACTCAAATTTTATATATCTGAAAAGAACCCTTGTTGTCCACTTTCTAGGAGTAGGCCTCCATTCCTTAATTCCCTACATCTCCTAACACATCCATTAGAAAATGCTGTATGTACATTTGTTCATGTACATTCATGTACTTTCACATTCAACCTAACCACTTTTCAGTTTTTCTTAGTTATTTCTATGTCACCACCATTTCTTATTCTTGTAATTTCTGTACCTCTGCACAAGTCCTCTACCTTCCCACCTGTCCTGACTTCATTTATTCAGCTACGATGTACAAGTATTGTTTCAAAATAAGTCGGATTGTACCATTTGCTCATTCAAAATGCTTTCAATTTAAATAGTAACTATAGCGTCTAAGGCACTGAATCCTGTAGTTTCAGGGTCCATCTCCAGCTTCACTGCCTCTTTACTCACATTCCTTGTACTCTACTCTGATCTCATCCTAAAATAATATTCTTTTAAAATGTACAAGGTACGAGGCGCCAGATGCTGAAGTTCATGCCTGTAATCCACTCGAAGGATTGACATTGAAGGATTGTGGTTTGAATGCAGTGAAAGCAAAAAAGTCAATGAGACTCAGACTCCAAAATAACCAGCAAAAAGCAGGACTAGAGATGTGGCTCAAATGATAGGTAAAGCACTACTGAGCAAGCACAAGGCCTGCGTTTAGATCTCAATACCTGCAAAACAAAACAATAAAATACACAGAATTTGGTATACACTATGTAGAAAATAAACTATGCAACTTAAAGCAGGGTGAGGAAGAGGTGATGTTGTCCAACAAAGAAATGTACATATTACCTGACATGAATGGTACCTACTCTGTACAACATCTTAATACAATAAAGTTATATTTTTAAAAATACAGATATTATCACATATACTGTATGTAATCTGCATTTTGCACATATATGTGCATGCAAAAAGCAAGTTGTCCTCTTCGGTATACTCTATTTTCTCTTCAGATCATATAAATCTAACATCTTTTACTAAGTACTGGCTACAAAATTCACTGGAAAGTAGGGAAATTGAAGAATGCACACTTCATTTAAAGAAAGTCATCCCTATGTAAACATATAATGGCCATGAGGGAATAGAGAGCCACTAAGGTTTCCCGAGTTTTGTGGGGGTTTTTTTCTGTTGTAGGGCTTGAACTCAGGGCCTGGGCGCTGTCCCTGAGCCTCTTTTGTGCTCAAGGCTAGCGCACTACCACTTGAGCCACAGTGTGACTCTGGTTTTTGAGTGGCTTATTGGAGATAAGAGTCTCATGGAGACTTTTCTACCCAGGCTGGACAGCCTCCTGAGTAGCTAGGATTATAGGTGTGAACCACCTGCCCAGAGGTTTCCCAATTTTTTAGGAGAAAAATCTACATTTTTCTTCCTAACTTTCTAAAATATTTTTTTAAATAAAAACTATCTCTCCCCCATGATATAACCCCTGCTTTCACTGTATTTGATGTTGGTATAATTTGTGGAGGGGAAAGGAAAAAACAAATCATTTAAATAGAGATACAGATGGACCCACTGCAATGAGATGGCAGGGGGGGTGGGGAGGGGGGGAGATGGGGGAATGGGAAGGGATAAGAAAGGGAAACAAAGGAGGAGGCAACAATGCTTGATAAAAAATGTACTCATTATCTTGCCCATGTAACTCCTCTGTATGGTATTTCCACAATAAAAAAAAATTAAAAAATAAAAACTATGCAGAGCTAAAATAAAAGAAATGCTGTGAAGTTCTATTTGTGAAGAATCTAAGAGACTATCACAGGTTCTGGATAACAAGCCTCAGAAAAAAGAATTTAATCTAAGTCACTGATGAACTGAGAGCAGAGGAGGCATATAAACACACTGCTGCAAATAAAGGATCATTCTAGAAGCTTTATGGGAATAAGAAAAAAGTTAGCAGTGAATACAGACAAACAAGGTCCTGATTGTATCAAACAATCCATTCAGGATTTCACAGTGATGTGGATATTTTATGTGAGAGAATGGAAGGGGGATAAGAATTTACTGAAATCAGGATATATTTAAGTGACAGAGTTGAATATGAATGTAAGGTAAACTAGAAGATCAAGCACAGGTTTTCAGTTCCAGCAAGTTACAAAAGATATTACCATTTTGGAAGAAACTGGCTTGGGTAAAAGTGAACAACTTTGGTTATACTAGCATTTGCAATTTGTCTGATTAACAAGTGAAGATTTCAATCAAGAATGTCTTTGCTTGAGTCTAGAAGCCTGTGAATGAAACAGCATTACAGATGTATATTTGAACTTCAACAATGCAGTTGATACTAAAAAGCTTTGAAATTAGTCAGGAAATGTGGTAGCTCATGTCTGCAATCCTAACTACTCAAAAGGCAGACATTAGGAGGATCTTGGTTACAGGCCAGCCTGGGGAAAAAAAATCCATGAGAACCTATTGCCAATAAAAGTTGCAACTGGTGGCATATGCCTATCATCTCAGCTGTGCAGAAAATGTAAATAGGAGTACTGAGATCCAGGACAGTAGGAGCAAAAACATAGGACCCTATTTGAGAAAACCAAACAAACAAAACCAACCAACGTCTAGTTGACAGCATGGCTCCAGTGGTAGAATGACTGCCTAGCAAGTATGAGACCCTGAGTTCAAACTCCAGTATAACCAAAAATTAAATGCCACAGAACTAGAGGAAATTGACCTAGGAAGGATACATAGAAAAAACCTCACCTGAATTAGACTATGAGGTGGAAAAAATTCTGTTCAGACCAAGAGTTCAAGCCCCACAACAGACAAAAAAAAAATCTTTTAAAACAATTAGATGATTGGGCTGGGAAGGTGGCTCAGTGGTAGCGCGCTTGCCTTGCATGCATGAGGCCCTGGGTTCGATTCTTCAGCACCACATAAGCAGAAAAAGCCAGAAGTGGTGCGGTGGCTCAAGTGGTAGAGTGCTAGCCTTGAGCTGAGGGACAGAGCCCAGGCCCAGAGTTCAGGTCCACAACCGACAAAAAAAGAAAACAATTAGATGATTAAATAATGACTAAGAATGCATTACTGAGGGGAAGACGATGGCGGCGAAACAATAGGGAATTGCCCACTCCTCTCTAACCAGAGACACTTTTCCGCAAAATATCAACAACAACCAATAGATGAACAAGCACAGAACCACAGGAACTAAAAAGAACTCCTAGCTTGTACACATAAGGATGAAAAGTTGCCAAGATTCGTCGCCCATTCCCCCATCCAGCACCGGCCTGGCTGCAGCCAAGGAGTCCAGGACCGACAGTGGAGCACAGCGCTCCGACGCAGCTCCCACGGCGCTGGATCCAGACGGCACACAAAGGGGCCCAGAGAACCTCCAGCTCCGTGGCTGACCCGGACTCCAGGACTATCGGCAGAGAAACCGGGCCCCTTTTAAAACAATACAAAAACAATTTTATGGGCCATAGGCGGCCACCCCTTCCGAAGTGCACGGCCAACCGGAATCCCAAGCTAGTCTCTCCACACACAGCACACAGGTCCAGAAGAGCATCAACTCCTCTCCCGAAGCCGCGGAGCGTGGGGCCACACCTGCACAAGCCACCAGCCGAACACTGGCACCTGAAGGGTGTGGGCCACTCCACGGCCAGAGTGCAAACAGGGTCCCACACACCCGTGGGAGCCCGCCCTTACCAAAGCATGCCCATCAGGAAGACCTGAAGCTAGTCTCCTCAGACCCCACTGAAGAATGGACCGAGCTCCTTTCAGCTAACCTGGCGCCGGGTGCGCAAAGGTGCTTGCTGGGCCGGGGACCCAGTGTAGGTTAGTTCACCCAATGCGAGCTAGCCCAGGCTAAGCGAAGGCTACTACCTGTAAAGTGCGAACAGGCTACAGTCGGGCCACAGCCCTGACAATCCCTGAATCCAAATGCATAAATCACAAGGAAAGATTACAAGATTCATAAACAATCAAGAAAACAAATCAAATCCAAAGCCAACAACAATCCAGAGAAGGACCCCACTGAGAGTGAAGAATGGATGGTGGGCAAAAGCATTAAAGAACTGATGGCAGAATTGGCCATTAAAAT